CCATACGAATCAATCAGCTTCGCTCTATAGAAAGTGGCGAGCAATCGCACAATGCTCATGCGTTATCAGAAAGCGCTGAATGGACGGGATCGATGCTTGGATTTTCACTATTCACTCCCTGCCATGCTCAGCGGCGAGGATTCAAATGAGAATATGCGTCGGACTATATGATAGAAGTCGCGGCTGGACGTTTCACGAGGCCGTCACCCCCAATCGATGTCTTGAGATGGAGCATTCAGCGGTAGACTCATTCGAGGAGAGATAAATGAAGAGCCCAAGGCCAACTGATCCGGCGAACTGCCGGAGTGCCACGAAACCCACCCTTGGTACTCGGTTCCTCATACGCCCCTGACGTATCGCTCCCGATTCGTCCTGAGATGCTAAGCCGTCGCGACGGCGGACGCTTGAACTCCGCCGGACGGGACTCTCACAACCTCTGTCTCCAGCGATTCCCCGAGAGATTCAACCGAGGCAAATCACGTTGACGTTGTGGGACTCGGCATCCTCTGGAGAACCAATCTAGGTATCTCGAAGCGGGCAGCGACGCGACGTCAAGATTCCTCTTTTGCGGAGTCGAACATAGACCCATTCTGTACCATAAGAGCCGCGAGGCTCTCGACGCCAGCCGCCCAAACCTGGATTGTTCCTCGAACTCGATCGATTCGAACGATCCAAAAGATTTAGTTAGGGTACTCGCTGTTGCACTCTTAGGATTACTGCGAGGCGAGTTTTGACATTGCGCTCATCACTCTGAAGTCGAACTGCAGCACGACCGCGACACAGGTGATGCAAGTGATCACGAAGTTCAGGAAGTTGGATGTGCTCTGTGTGAAACTAGCAACTTTAAGAGCGTCCATTTCATCCCGGAACTTCAGCAGTCGAAGATATTTCGAACAGCATGAGCGGCACACCGAATCGGTCGTATCCGACGTTCTAGAGAAGGAAGTCTCGGCTCTGTGACACTGTGAGATGCAAAATGACGCGTTTTCCGAAACTGCAAAAATTTGAACAGCGACGCACAGAAAAGCAATCAAGTGACAAGCAGCATGGAAGGCATCCGTTCCTTCTTTCAAAAAGTCTGCGCAGCCAAGCACGATCGTCACGACTATCTGGACGTAGTACCCGGGCAGAATCCAGGCGAAGAGCTCGTTTGTCCTCTGGATTCTTCCCCGCAGCTGCCACTTCTTGGCTGCGACAGAAGCAAGCTCTAATTCTTGCACGCGATTGAGTATATCCTCGAGTAGCGCCCGGTGCCCCGCGAGCACTTCGGTGTAAACGGAGAAGAATCCAGCCGAGATCAGCATGCAATGAACGAAGCAAGCCTCGCGGATACATCCCTTCCAGTCGACATGGTCTCCCCAGAAGACAAACGCTGAAAAAATCAAGGGCGCAGTCGGCACGAAAGGCATCGCTATATCGAAGATCCGCCGGTTACCCGATCTCAGAAGAGCAACGACAGATTCTCGTTCCGTGATGAAGATGTAGGTAACCCGCAAACTGGTCAGGAAGTAGACGCATTCGCTGATGATATTTATGATTTTCGTCAAGCTGAGTTCCTCCTCTGGATGGACGAAGCGGTTGAATACGTATTCCAGAATGATGATCGAGAAGATTAAGTCCACGCCGACCAAGAAGAACCTCGTGAAGAATTTGAGCCATTTTGTCTGCCCATACACATGCAAGCCGCCGAGAAGACACAGCCCGGCGAAGATCCGATCAACAATAGTTTTGTGCTTTGGCGGAAGAGTCTCACTCCTGGAAACGCGGAATCCTTTCTTTGGAACACAGACCTCACAGGGCCGCTCATCAGGTGTAGGGATGAGATGGGGCCACGTTCCATCTCGAGCCTTATTGATTACGCGCATGGAGGCAGGCAGTGGAGGCGCACCGAGGCGATCCCGGTCTGATCGTGGGAGTGCGGGACGAAAGGTTTCCATACGAATCAATCAGCTCCGCTCCATAGAAATTGGCGAGCAATCACACAAAGCTTATGCGTTATCAGAAAGCGCTGAATGGACGGGATCGATGCTTGGACTTTCACTATTCACTCCCTACCATGCTCAGCGGCGAGGATTCAAATGAGAATGTGCGTCGGACTATATGATAGAAGTCGCGGCTGGAAGAATGACGTTTCACGAGGCCGTCACCTCTAATCGATGTCTTGAGGTGGAGCATTCAGCGGTAGACTTGTTCGAGGTGGGAGAGAAATAAAGAGCCCAAGGCCAAGTGATCCGGCGAACTCCCGGATTGCCACGACCCTCGCCCCGAGGGATTCAACCGAGGTAAATCACGTTCACGTTGTGGTACTCGGCATCCTCTGGACAATCAATCTAGGTATCTCGAAGCGGGCAGCGACGCGACGTCAAGATTCCTCTTCTGCCTAGTCAACCAGAGTCCGATTCTGTACCATGAGAGCCGCGAGGCTCTCGACGCCATCCGCCCAAACCCGGATCGTTCCTCGAACTCGATCGATTCGAAGGATCCAAAAGATTCAGTAAGGGTACTCGCTGTTGCACGCTTAGGATTATTGCGAGGCGAGTTTTGACATCGCGCTCATCACTTCAAAGTCGAACTGTTATACGACCGCGACACAGGTGATGCAAGTGATCACGTAGTTCAGGAAGCCGGACGTGCTCTGCGAGGAGCAAGCAACTCTCAGAGCGTCTATTTCGTCCCGGAACTTCAGTAGCCGCAGGTATTTCACGCGGCACAGCTCGCAGACGACAGAATCTGTTGTGTCCGTGAGCTCAGAGAACGAGCTTCTCGCTGTGTGACACTTCGAGATGCAATCCGACGCGTTTTTCGAAAGCAAGCAAATCTGAATCGCAATGCAAAACAATGCGAAGAACTGAAAGGACGCGTTCGGGGTATCAAATTCCTCGTTCAAGGACTCCGTGCAACAAAGCACGATCGACACCATTATCTTGACAGCTACAGACTCGAGCTTCACTTCTCGCACGCAATGCAGAATATCCTGAAGTGAAGCCCGATGGCCCGCAAGGACATCGGTCTACACAGAGAAGAATCCCGTTGAGATCAGAACACAATTCGTGAAGCAAGTCTCGCGGAGCGATCCTTTCCAGCCGACGCTAGCACCGATATAATACAGCGAAGAGCAAATCGTCGGCGAGGAGAGCACGAACGGAATCGCTGTATCCTTGATTCGCCTGTTGTGGAGCGCCACGACGGACTCCCGTCTCGTGACGAATGCTGAGGATACCCACAGGCTTGTCAAAGAGAAAATGGAGTCGTTGATGACATCGAAGATTCTCGTCAGACTGAATTTTTCTGGATGGGCCATCGCGCTGAAAGCAAATTCCAGCACAATGATCACGTATACCGACAAGGACACTGAACCAAAAAATTTCATTGGAGCTCTGCGCCATTCCCTCGGGTCGGAAACTTGCAATCCGTAAACGAGACACAGCACATTGAAGATACTATCGACAAGGCTCTCGCTTTTTCTATGTAGGGTTCCGATCCGAGTGGCCTGACTTCGTTCCTTGGGCGCACAAAACTCGCATTGGGCGCCCATTTCAAGCAAACGGAAGATGGAGCCAGGCTTCTCGCTTGAACCGTCTCGATATTAAGCATTCAGGCAGGTGACGGTGGCAAATTGAGGTCTCCTCAGTCGGGACAGGAGCCTCAAAGCCTGCGAACGATCCCATTGAGCTCGCGCTGTCGATTTTCACGGTCAATGCGAACTATCGTTCTCATAAGGTAGTCTAGGGATTGTCCACGGTTTGAGACATCCGACAATTGTTAAACCCTGGGCTGGGATCTCGGGAAGGGTCGACGACGCAGCTGACCGAATCCATCACTGCTGTTTTCCGAGTTGTTCCTCCACATGTGGTGATATTTAATACCAACGTAAACACGCGGAATTTAAGAATCGCGAAGGATGAATGTCTATCGTTGTGCTGAGAGGTTGAGTTCGGATTCTCGCCGGAGTGACAGCAGCGCTTGCGACGGCTGTTCGGAAGTTTTCTCGACATTGGTTAGGCCGATCCCTCCGTCGGCGACGGCGAATTCCCAGTACACATTGTCCCCGAGTGAAGCATCGTATCGGCAGAGGATATTTCTTCTTTCCATTTTGCTCGATCGCGATGAATCTGTTAGCCGCTCATGTCAGACAGAAAACTGAAGGCGCTATCCGCCACTTATTCGTTGCTCTGCTCAGGTCGCGCGGCTCGCTAAACGGAGAGTTCACTCTCCGGTGAACATAGAAGGTGAGGCCTCGCCACGACTGGTCGCAGGATAAAGACTGCGAGCTGGTAGCTCATGGACTCTAATCGATAACATCCAATATTGTGAGTTACCCCGAAGCCTCCGTCGCAAGACGTTGGAGAGTGTAGTTCCCGGCCCTTGGCTCGCGATGTTCATTTTCCGATCCGTCTGATCTGAGAATGCTTGTCCACGCCACAAATCATCTGTAAACACGGCACGGACGGCCCTAAATGGGAGGCTCGATCCCAAGTTTCCGCGATGCCCATTTGCGGAGCCATGGTCATTCCGCTGCTCTCGCTCTCGATGAGCGGCGGATGAGCTAAGGGCAAGATAAAAGCAGAATGCCAGGCCGCCAGGAGAGGGTGAGCCCTAAAGGAACGCCGCCGGATGGGAGGATTCGGCTGCCGCCAGAAGTTTGGGCGATGGGAAAATCTTGGTATCGAATCTCCGAGTGAATTTTTTATCTCTCAAGTCCTGTCAATAGCCCCCGAAGAGAAGATTGGCTGGCGATTCGGCATCGGACGAAAACTAGTAAACTGCCAGAATTGGACTTCGGACCTCAAGGGCGGGGCTTGCTTGACGCAGGGGCATCGTGGAGCGAGGATTAGGATGAGAACCTCAAGCACTGAGAGAACTAACCTCATTGATCAAATATTCATGAATAAACGAGCCTGGCGTCTTAGGGAAGCTCCGTGATTCGATTGACTCGCTATCACGTAGATCTTTCGTCGAGCGCTCCTGCGAGCTCAATAATAAGATGCCGTCTCGTAGACCGTGGATTTAAACTGAGCTTTCGAGGAATCCTCGATCACAAGGGAGAAACGCCGCCAAAAACTGATTCCGGCCCTTCTCACAAGCGAAATCTCGACACGAAAGTCTACCAGAAAGGCTGGTCCCAGATCAAGTCGGGTGTTCGATGTTTTGATTGGGAATTCGGTATCGAGCGACGCGTAAGATCAAGGAGGCTCATCGCAAGTATCTTGTGTGCTTCGGTTCCCTTGAATACGGAAAAGTGCGACTTCAGGATGAGGCTGCCTGTGTTCCTCTTCCAAATGAGCCTCTGGCTCGGGACAAACGCCCAAGATTGTCAAATTCCGAGGGAATCCTTCGGTCCACTCCCACCCGTGCTGCCTGAAAACTTTCACATGGTCTATGAGAAAATCAATCTGGTAGAGAAGACAGCTGAATACTTCGATGTCTGGTGAGTAAGTAGTTCGAGCAACGATTCTCGGAGCTTTCGAAGGGGTAGGGAACGGGGGCCACCGTTCCGGGGAAGCGAGCGCCATCAGTGATTATCGTTACCATCTGAAAACTCCCGTCCAATCGAAGGTATTCCTGGAAGGAACAGAAAGCTCGAGTCGAGAGAGTCGATTCCATGAACAAGGGAAAGGTGATGATATTCGATTTCGAGTTCTCCTCGAGCTTCGGATACAATGTGCCGCGGCCCGGTAAGTGGTTGATGTGACGCATCCCAGATTGAATGAATGCAGGAGCCGGCCGACGAGTTCCTATGTGGGTCCGCGGTCCATTCCACTCCCGAGAACAACCAGAGGACTTCGTGTTTGTTGCAGATATTGTCAGAAAGACCGACGAAGCGACCGGCGAATCGAGTGACGGCTCGATGGATCAAGACGCCTCACTCAATTACGAACCAATTACACCGGATCTCTATCCCAATCTCTATTTCTTTAACCCTTCGGAGAGACCCGTGCGTATGAGCGACGTTTACCACTCGCTCCTCTTCGGGGGTCCTTTCCGATTCAAGTTCGCGGGGAATGTCTCTGACGACTCGAGTCGTTTCATCAAATCGAACAAGTTCGAAGGCTGCGTCGTGGATGAATCGACCGGGAAATTGCTCAAAGTCGTCTACTACTGGACCCAGGAAGGTACAGGACTCTATCACTCGAGCAGTTGAGCTCCGATTGGGAATTATTGGCGAGGAAGGAATGATCGAGGAAGTATGCTCAGAACACAATCGGAGGCTCGATATTTATCTGCTTTTCAGACGACATGGAAAAGCCGGTCAAGTGCGAGCGCACCGGCGACGGCGTCGACGAAGTGCTCTCCATAATTCGCTTCGACAGAGATCCGCAATTTCCCCCCGATGTCTTCTCAGTAAGACTGTTGTCCCGAACCCCCAAGCGCACTCTACGAAACTCAACTGGATAATCTCTTTCATTAATTCCCCCAATCAGCTCCCCAGGCACAAGGTATGCGCCAATCATCCGGGCGTCGTGGACCGCAAGAACTTTCCGGCCATGAGCGACGATTTTGCCTGGAGGCAGGAAACATTTTCTTGGTCAAGCACCGAGGAAGGCGTACTGTATGGTAACATCGAGCAGAGCTACCGGGAGGTGGGTGGCGGGGATCAGCGGCTGAGCGATCGGCTCCTCGGGTTCTGACTCCGATTCTCGTATTGGCCTTGAAGGCTTTGAACTCCTTGGTTTGGTCCGGCGACTAAATCGCTCGAATGCCATCATCCAGGTGTGGGTCACGGATTTGTACAAAATAGCTCGTTTGGATTGGACTCCACGGAGATCCGAAGTCGAAGGGACCACCTTCGAAAGTTTCGCTGGGAGACCGCTCTCGATCATCGCCGACATTCCGTACCGAGCGGTGTTCATCACTGACAAGATCAACGGTCGATGCGTTGTTAAACCCCTCACCGAAGACTTTCCCCTCTCCGTGAAGGTCAACGGCACTTACAAGCTGAAGAAAGTGTTCGACCTCATCGGCATGGACGGTCCAAGAGCCCTGAAGGGCGAGGTTGGCTTCCATTCATGGCTTCAGATTCAACTCTTAACTCGAATTCGCCGCCCAGAGGAGTTTCTGAACTTGAGCTCGATTTTCAGTATGTCGAGAGGAACGGCGATGTGCTCGTGTACACTTCCAACTACACCACGCAGCCTAACGCAGAGTTCGCAACCGCCCATGAAACGTCACTCCGTTTCGATGTGCAACAAGCAACCGAGTCGTTTGGAGCTTTCCAATTCGTCCCCGTCTCCCAACTCACTCAACGGATCGCGTCGGATCCCGAGGGCGAGAACGTGAGTCGAAATTACATCGGTCGATTCCTGCTTCCGCATTTCAATCGCTCCAGAAAGTACCTAAGGCCAAGAATCCTCCGCAGCCGGCGCGATTGAGCTACGAGCAGACCTCGTACTTCCGATACAGCAGCGAGCACCGACCATTGCACCTCTTCTCAGCTCCGGGTTGCATCGTTCATCACAAACGGAAAGTTTTCGAATTGAGGTTCGCCGGTAAGTTTCAGATGTTCGAAGAGCGATGTGAGAAGATCCTGCGGAAATACTTTCGAATTTCTGAGGGAATATCTCTGACCGGATGATCTAGAAAATTGGTTTCGTAGTGGTGGGGAAAGACTCTTCAATGTTCGCAGGAAGCACGTGGGGCGTGATAAGCGGGAGAAAAGACGAGTTCGTGGACGAGCTCCGACATCAGATTTATCTCAGGGGAGATCTCGACACTTTGATGAGAGTTCAAGCCGTAAACGTGAGTCCAGACCTTATGACAAAAAAAAGCTGTATGAGCACTAGATCAACGAGGATTCCACTTTACGGTATCCGATATTTGCAGGCCTACGAGGCGTCCGACGTGCTTGCCACGGTAACTCTCCTCGAGCCGTTAGAGGAGATCGATTCCGAAATTTCTATATCGATCGATGAGGCCGCCCAGAGAATCGCAAAAGATGTAGACGAAGGCAATTTCGCCGTTCCTTTCGTTTTTGAGGTATGGGATGGAAGAAGATCGAATGATTCGGTTATCTTCGGTACCTCGTCGCTGTATCCGACCCGGACCGGAGTCTCGAGTCACGAAAATTTGTCTCCGCAGGGTGGAGATCAGCTGATCGCTGTCGAGAACTCGTTCAGGATGTTGAACCCGACGAGCAGTGTTGCCAATTTGAGACGCTCTCGACGAGAAGTCGTTCAAGAACCAGATGAGCCCGTCAGTCCTGATTCCGGATACAGTTTAGGTGAGGAGCCTTAGCAATGGAAGACGATGATCGCTCCCCGGAGCTCTATCAGACCTCAGTTAGCCGATGTCTTACTGAGGCTTGGGAAATGCGCTCCATTCCAGGGACCTTCATCGGAGTGTGCTTCGCAGCTTTCGTGCTAGGCATCGGCGGAGGTCTCTCATACATCTACTTCAGGGCCAGGTTCAATCAGACGACACAACCCGATGTCGTTCCTCTTGGAGAGATGGAACAGAGTCTAGACCACGAGCATATCCAAGAAGCAGGACCCTCCGGGTGGAAGGCAAATGAGGTCTACTAGTCGTTGCGAAAGGCCTTCCAATAATTGAACGGAGAAAATTTCTTCATCCTCTTTCCGGGCGTCATGACCTTGCTCAGTATCTTTTAATCATTCATTCGTGCATCACCTTACATTTATCGACTGTCTGGCAAACTAGATATGCGCTCATACCGGGAGAGGTCCAAGGCATCCGCCTGGCAGCGTCGATCAAATCGTTCGAATAGACTTTATGACATGAGCATATCAGACTTCACTCCTGAAGTCGCGCGAACATTTTCTGCAATAAAGCGAAGGATTCGATAATCCCATGACTCAATCTGAAGACCTCTTCGCATCGGGAATCTGCATACGAGTTCCGATACGATCACCGTGGAGGCTCTCCGAAAAGTCAATCGCGAGAGAGGTCGCGAACGTGGTATTGATTTACCGTCCGAATGTGATATCGGAATAATGAAATCTCAAAACTATTCTCATCCCCGAGAACGGCGACTGCCCAGCACCTGTAAACACGGTACAATTCCGTCCGATGAGACGGGACTCGGGGCGTCGCATGGCGTAACGCGGGTCTGAGCTCGCGATGGAGTTTGCTGATTCCGTCTCTCGAGTGAACTCTTTCCCTTCCTTCCCTGTGTCTGTGAGCTTGGCGATCCTGTTCCGTCACCAATTTAGATGGAGAGTGGAGCCGGAGCGTGTTGCGTGATGAATAGAGCTGAAACTTTCATGCAATATGCATATATTGCATGAAAATGCATGATCGGGTCAATTTCGGCTCGAAATGCATGTTTTGGAATTTCACCGCATAAAATGCATTTTCTGTGATTTCATGCGAGTTGGGCTATCTGAGATGGGAGCGAAAAGTGGGTGTGTATGTCTAGTATGAAGATTTCGATAAGAAGTCCTGGCATCCTTGGTAGGTGTTCATCTGTATCCGTCTCGTTCGGGCATGTGCGATGCACGCCGTCTGACGCGCGGGTCACGTAACAAGGTTCTATTGTTCGTGTCGGATGGTGCAGCCTATATGAAAAAGGCAGGCAAGGCCCCCCTTTTCCCGAGAATTTTACATTTGACCTGTGCAGCGCACGCGGTGCATCGAGTAGCCGAAGAAATCCGGCTCGTCTTCCCCGATCTTGACAAACTCGTCGCGCACGGCAAGAAGGTTTTCCTTGAATCCGCTTCCAGAGTCACGGAATTCCGAGAGATGGTTCCCAACGTACCCCTGCCACCTCAGCCCGTCCTCACAAGGTGGGGCACGTGGGTCAATGCTGCGATATATTACGCCCAGCATTTCGAGGCGGTCGCCCCAGTGGTTAATGCCCTGGACCCGACGGAGGCCGCAAGCATCGGTGTGACGCAGGAGTTGGTGACAAGAGCATCCTTGAGAGAAAATCTAGCTTTCATCTCCAATCATTTCGGAAAATTGCCCTGTGGAATAGAGAAGCTCGAGAGGAAAGGGACGATGCTCTCCGAAAGCATTGACGTGTTCGAAGAAATCCTCGCGACGATCGAGCTCACCCCCGGGCCCATCGGTGAGAGACTTCGTCGGAAATGTGCGGATGTTCGCTATCGCAACCCAGACTACGAGCGAATAAGTTCCATAGCGAAGGTTTCAAAGGGAGAGGATACAGATGGTACAAGCAGCGGCGATTTTAGTCCAGCCGAGCTGTCATCTTTCAAGTTTGCTCCTCTTTCCTTAGTGGATGTGGGAAGGAGTTTCTCTTCGCTAAAACATATCCTGAGCGATCGTCGGCATAGTCTAATTTTCGAGAACCTTAGGATGACTGTCATTGTATACTGTAGCCTATAGATTACATCGAAGTCAGATCAAATTATGCTTATGCTTTGTTCGGAACAGCATATATCCCTCCTCATTATTGCATATTTGCATGCATATTCTCATTTTTTTCAGTGCATGAAAGTTTCAGCTCTAGTGATGAAGCTTCTCCGCACCGATGACTTGACTCCGTTTGGGCGCTTCCCCTTCAAACCCGTACGTCCTCTAAAGCGAAGAAGGAATACAAACTCGTGACAACCCGGAATAGGGGGGGATCGGTCTGGCAAGATTATCCTGACGCACATTGAATAGATAATCGCAAGTACATACATGAATTAACATGCTTATGATGATAGCAACATGTACTCTGCTCCTGGAGCTGTTTCATTTCGAAGAAAAATCGGGAGTCCGAATATTCCGGGCTTCCAAACCCGACTGCCGCACAATAGGTCCGCCTGAGGTACCGGTCTATTTCTCGGCAAAGCCGCGAGTAAACCCGTCTGGCGGTTTTCACGGTAGATAGATTATCCGATCCACAGAGAGAAACTCCACTTGAGCGGGCTTCTTCGGAGAGGGTAGTCCAATCCAGTATTCGGGCGCATGGGTATTCGGGCTGATGACTGTGCACCAACACACTGGCGCCCATCCTCTTGATCCTCCTTTGCTCGGAGGCCGTTTCCGATCTCACCTGATTGAGGGTTGACCATACCGTAGGAAGCTCTCGAACGCTCTCCCCGCTCCTCGAACTCCTCACGGTAACCGTTTGGCAGCAGGAGCCAGAAGTTGACATCTGGGACGGGTTGCGCTCCGCAGATTGTAAAATACATTTCCATTGTAAAACGAGTGCACACCAATCCGAAACCGTGTCCAGCTCGCAAGCAGTCAAGCTAGTCTTTCTTTAGAGCTCTGCTTAGAATGAAAGTTCTCTAAAATCAATCATCGATTCGTTGATGCACGGTTCATCTGTTAACTCCGGAAAGCATCACCTATCGATCTGTCCGATGGCTCCGAAGATCCCCAGGGTCCTCGTGGATTCCGCGAATGCCGACCGACTGATCCCGAAGTCTCGACCTGAATGCGCCACCACTCTTCATTATGCGGAATTATTGAATGTTTCCTTCTGGCTCCTTAAGCGGTTTTGCAAACTCGGCACGAAGTCTCCCGAGAGACTGCGAGAGAGTGGTCCCCGGCTCATCGAGCTCCTCTTCGAATATGGCGCGCAATGATGCCACAGCAGAGGTCCAGCATTCCGCGTTCAGGTTCGAAATGTTCCGACTTGCGAGCAGACGACGCCCAACGTGAGCGAGGAGGAAGGTCATAATAAACAAAAGCCCTGACTGAGAGGAGGGGAAGGGTGCTCAGTGTGTTAAGCGTTCAACATAGTGAACGAATTCCACTATGGAAATTGATTCTACTTGTTCTCGGATCGTCATTGAAATTCGCAGTGTCGGCAGAAGCTCCTGAGCTCTATTGCAACTAAATGTCCGTAGAGAATATCGAGACCGACGAGATGCTATCGTTCTCATCCGAGAGGTGAGGGCGCAGCTCGCGATCAATCGCAATCATCTGTTCCTGATCAATTCGATCTCATGGGAAACAGATGTTTCCTTAGTTAATGTGTAAATCGTTGCGATGAAAGTATTCTGTCTTTAGAACTCCCAGCGGTTCGACGGACGACATCGGAGCGTGGGAGCCATCGAACGCGAATCTCATCGTGGCTTCTCACATGTTGCTGTGAGTTTTGACTCCCGTCGTAGGGGAATAAACTGGAAAGATGCAGAAGTTGGCTCCGGTCGAGACTACGGACCTCTCATAAACCTGTGGCGACGCTTCGGAAAAAGATGTGATCGCTAATTCACGAGAAGCAGAATTGGGTAAAAATTTGCTCTCGGGGCTCCTTGTGAAAATTTTGCTCGCCCGGAGCGCCCCCTTCCCGACAAGATGGCGGTGCAGTCTAAGTGCTCAGCGTCCTGCCGTCGTTCCAACGTTGGTTCAGTTTTCTCCTAATCGGATGTGCCAAATACGGGGCATGATGCCGGAAGGCTCAAAATAGTGAACGTGGGAGCCTCAAGACGGCTCCGAGATACCGACCTGGAGTCTCGGACCCGGGATCTCTCCCCCCAGGCGTCAGACACCGTCTTCCAATCAATGTGAGCTGATTCGAACACTCGACTGTATAGAGAGGTCTGATGAACCATCATCGCTAGCTCGCCTATTCGCGCGAGCAATCGAAGCCGAAAACCTCTAGCGGCTCATTGGGATAGGACCCGGACGGCCCAAAAGGGCTCATTTCCCAATCGGAGTCCAAACATTAGCCCTAACGACAAAACTGAAAGCCGTTGTCGAAAAGGGGCCCACTTCGCACGGCGGTGGGTTCTTGAACTTGCCGCTGAGGAGTCGGCAGCGGTTTTGCGCTGAGCTGCTGCATTCTTCCGGTGCTGTATCGTGCGAGGAGAAACTCGCTCACCACCGAGTGCTACAACATGCAGAAAATGCTGTGGGAGTTCAGCGGAGTCCTAGAGATCGTGGGTGGCCCGCGGGGATCGGGCGGTTCTCTCCTGGGTCAGAGAATTGTCCCGAAGGCAGTGTTTGGGTAAAGGCGCTCGAGGGGCCGTATCTATCGCGGCTGCTGTCGATTTCTCCATGACCGAGTGCGTCACTTATTCGACGGTTCAGATGGTCGGAGTCAAGATTCGTAGAATGTCATGGCATGCTTGTTTCCATTCCGGAAGATTCGATTTCCGTGAGGAGGCGTGATAGCCTGGATGTTGTGGTCGCCGTCAGAAAAGCGTTGGAAGACCCCAGCCGTCAATTAAGATCGTCACTTCGCGGGCCCCCTTCACGCATGGGAGAAAAAGAACCTGGCGCCGTTTCGGGCCTCGAGAGGGGGCCGTCGGACTTGGGACGATTTCTTTGGCTGAGCAGGAGGCGAACGCATCCGAAATTCTCCTCTCTCGTCGCGTGGCCGGAACGATCGACTATACGAAAGGGAACTCTTGCGACCTCGATCCCTCGGAGGTGTGGTTTTGTCAAGAGGAAACTTTGCATGGGAACCAGCGAAACTATACAGATTCGGAATCCGGAGAGCCAGATAAGTAGTCCGTTCCGAAGCCTCGCCATGCCTGAACTCGATCAAGTCGACGGGTCACGTTTTTTCGATGCGACAGGCGAGGTGATCGATCAAGTTTTGTGATCTCCATGTTCATGGCTAGAATCTGGAATCGCTCAGGGCACGAGGAAAGGCAAAAAAGAAAAGTGATTCCCCCATTATTCGGGTCAACTTGAGAGGCTTTTCGGCGTGCTATCTCCCATCTGGTATCGTCGAATCCTCCTCGTATCGACCGTCGTTGGTGCTCCAGAAACCCTGCCGAATCTCGAAGTCGGACGTTCATTGGTTGAATGTTGGAGGAACTCGAAGCTCGTTCGGGTAACTTGGAAGAGAATCTGTCAGATCGAGATCGGGTGAAACTCTCTGAAATCGAAAACAGGAGAGGAGGCACCTGCGAGTGAGGCGGAACTTGGCGATCTGACCCCCGCAAAGAGATCTTCCTCTATCAGGCGTTTCTTCAGAAGATCTCAAGGTTTATTAGGCCAGTGCGATGTGAGTGATGAATGATATGCTTGCAATTTTTCAAGGAGGCTTTGCTTTTTCAGACCGATGGTTTTCTGATCTTCGGACACATCCCCGTTCATTTTTTGAACCCGGGGATTGCGTCAAGGGAAGATGGAAGGCATGGGAGCTAAACGTAAACGAGGTCGACCACCGAACCCTCGACGAGGAAGTCTACATTCGAAGAACTCCATGACAACTGATAGTCCCCGAAGTCAAAGCACCCAAAACTCTGATAGCAGTAGCGCTACCGAAGAGGAAACCTGCTTCTCGTTGAGACTACTATTGCCCTGCAGTGGTTGTGGAGAAAATGCTTCAGAACGTCGAATGGTGGTCGTCTGTGATCAATGTAGAAAAGCTTACCATCAGACCTGCCACTTTCCAAGAATATCTCAACTATTTGTCGATGACGCATCAAAATCCTGGAAGTGTAGAGACTGTGTACCACAAGGGTCGGTCCGGGTGAGTGCTGTACTGTATGGATTCTAGAGCTCAGCCCCTTTCCGCAGTAAATTCTTGCGATTTCAACGAATAACCACGGTCGCTAGTCCTGACTGATGGAAGCTTCTCGCTTAATTTCAGAAAAGCGCGAAAAACTTCAAGGCAAACACTCGTTTGCTCTACAAAACGACAATTCTACCATTTTCCCCAACCAAACTGGGAACCTATGCCGCACACGATACTGAAAATTCAGCAGATAGCTCTTGCTATTGTGGAAAAACTGGTGTATGGAATGACAAGATGCTCCAATGTCGGAAATGCCTTGTATGGTACCATGAAAGTGAGTTATAGATGGTATTCGAAATTTAGTCCGGGGAGCACCGATCTAGACGGCATATTCCGGGCCGGTCCAGGAAAATCCGCTGCAATGCCGCGAGATCTCTGTGTTGTTTCGTCCTGCGATACGTCGTTCTGTTCACTCTGATCTGCGTGCGAGGTTCATCCGCCTCGATAAGTCGTTTCTTCCGGCAGATTCTTATTCAGACTCGTATTTCTTCCGCTCATTACAGAATGTGTTTCTTCTTTGGCGTGGCCCCTCCTGGCGGGCGATTTCTTCTACAATTTCCGCTGTTCCGTCTGTACTGAAGGAGCGGAATACCTTACCAGACTACCACTGTCTTGGGTGGATGTGACTGATATCGTCATGTATCAGTTGCATCTAACCCGGCCAGACAGCGAAGCCTTTGAAACCAACTCTGAGATTTTCCCTTATTTGGACTCGATCTGGAGTCTGTTACAAGTTCCGATTGAGGTGAGTCCTCCTATCCGAGCACGACACGATCCGAAACTTCAGCCTGACCGGCGGATCATTCTCGGGGCTCTGTCGAAGCTCGAATAAAACGCACATCCGTCGCTAGATCTGACCGCGCTGATCTTTTGCAGCTCGATGCGTGTTCTCCGGAGGAGCGACACAGTCATGTTCTATATTGTTTGAAGCACATGAGCACAAGGTATACTCTCGCTAGTCTGGGTGGCCCGGGCGGTCCCGCATTCAGAATGGTGGACCCGCAACAAGTGCCCGCGCTCTCAGCCCAGCATTGGCTGCTAATCAACGGAACCCTGTAAGTGCGAAAGCCTAATGCTCGGAAGAGCTCCTCACTGGAGAATTGTGTCAAGTGCTAAAGCACGGAAGCAGTACTACCGAGTACCGAGTGGATCTTTTCGCTGTGAACCCTCGTGTCAATCGCGCTGGTGTTCAATGGGCTCGGGAATCGGGATCCAGCCGACGGCCATAAAGCTCGACGTGTTGACCTTTGGAGCCGATGAGCGTCTATGGTCTCGGATCGCTTCATGTTGTCGGAACGGATGTGGCGATCAGATGGCATCAGCTGTTTCGAGCACAGGTTTTCCAACTCGTTCTCATTTGATGTGATAGGTAGTTTCCAGCAGTAAGCCACGTATTCGGAGTTTCCGTTTTTTCCGGAAGCTCCCTCGGATCGATCACCGTCGTTGCTCTGGCCGCATCCCGAATTTTCCTTCTGGCCTTCACGATGAGTGGCTGCTTTTTCTTGCTCGGACTCCTTTGTCCTCGTCGTTGGCTATCGAGATTACCTCCTGATGACAAATATTCCGAAGTCCGAGGGAGCAGGACAATCCATCCATGATTGCTATTCTCGGACAGGGACCGACGGGAAGAGGGAAGAAAATTTCCTCGAGTGGCATCGAGCGCCCAGGCTCGCGGCTTCCGACTTCCACGGCCAGAGGACCCCGTCCTTAACGACCGAGCTTTCTAGAACCATGGAGTGCTCTGGTCCTCCGGACGATTCTCACGTTCACGCGTATTTCCAGGGTTGAAGACGAGGATTCAGATTTTGAAGATCTCGAAATGGCGATCACTCGCTCGATGAAAAGAGGGCTCGACGGCGATGTATCCGAAGACTCGGGAAGCTGTTCGACGCCGAAGAAGCGACCGAGGTCGTCAGCGGAAATCCTGGCGGAAACCGAGGAGATCGTGGATTTAGAGTCCGACAGAGAATCGTTATCATCCTCGGCGACGTCGATCGCATCGCTCGGCGCAGAATCGATGGACCACGAGCCGACCGTAACCTCTGGAACCGGGAGCTCCTTCGCGAAAAACATCACTCAGTTGGCAAGGGAGGCGATAGCAAACCACGGAGCGTCCGACGAGGACACCGCCGCCGAAACGGACGACGCACTCCCGTCGACGTCTGTAACCGCGCCCTCGAAGAAAGTATCCGCGACGACTGTTGCGGGAACCTTGGAAACTACAGGGTGTTCTTCCAGTAGCCCCTCCGGTGACACGAATCAGGGACCCATAAACTCGGACCGGGCCGCCCCATGCGCGAACGGGCTAGCGAACGATGAAACTGCCATGGAGACGGAAGCGGGCCCTTCAGCCCCTGCCAGAGAAAGTTACAAAGGGCGGCTACGGCCACGAACAGCATGCGTTCAGCAAGTATGCCGACCGAGAAGTAAGAAGCCAAATAGAAGATTCGCACAAAAGGTGAGTTCTGGATCGGGAGATCAAACGAACGCCGATCCCGGGAAATCCCATGAATTCTCCCCGAGCCTGAGCGTATAAGTAGTATTTCATGGAGGAGGAAGTATGCCCGTTGCGGAGGAGATCTTATCGAGTCCAGTCGCTCTTTCAGGCGGAGATCGATCCGTTGGAACGGCTACCGACGATGGAATGGTCCTTGATGGGGATCCCGCTCCCAGAAAATTTTGAGGGACCAAATCATCCCTTTTGGGAGGATGCATCCCCGCCGACACGTCCCAATATCATTCAGATGGAGGTTCCGAAAATAACGAAGAAATATATAGTTCAACCGAAAGATTTGGTACGTTCCTGGAGAGCTTCATCATTTCTCAATGCGACCTTTCTTAATGAGACCCACCATGTTGAATAGCAACCTAGCTGGGGACTGACCTTCTCTTGTTCGTAGATTATCAAGGAGGACGGGACGGCTATATTCAGACGCACAAGACGTCGCCAATCAGCGAAAAACAACTCAATCCAAGCTGACGCATCGTCCAATGACGCCCACGACACGAACGACGCGAGCGAGCAGCCGTCGACCAAATTCTCCGTTCCGGAGGATGCCGAAACTAACGACGAATCACAAAACGGTCCAGAGCAGACTGGAAACGACAAACCTCGAGCCGAGAAGAAATACGTCCCGTTCACCGGCGAGTGGAGTCTCATGGAAGTTGCCTATGCGGGACGACTCGTCAGATTCAGAACAATGCCTGATGGCTCCGTCATGGCATTGGTCAAGCTTGAGACTGAACCTGCGAACCAATCAAAAGAGGCAGGAGCACATGCGAATTCGTCCGGTAGGAGTCCCACGCAAAAGACGCACGGCTGGGTGCGAGATTAGCTCGAATCGCGGATTCCCGAGTGGCCTCGCATCCGGACCGTAGCCCGAATGAGCTCATCGGAGAGGACATCAGTGCGTTTCAGAAAACGAGTCCGCGGAAAAACGGTCGGGGGCGGGGGGGTAACAAAAATTCCCTTTCGATTTCCTAAGAGTTTGTTCCGGGAGCATACCTGCATTTATCAAGGCAGAGACCATCGTTTACGCTCTTTTATGCATTTTCCATGAAACCGCGCCCGAATTGTCATCCCGCGTTATCGTTCGAGATTAACGAATTCACGTCTGTCGATCACTTTCGAGATACATACACGAAAGAATTCAGCTTTTAGGATATGCAATTGAATACGAAGGTGATGCAATTTTTTTACCAAGCGGAATTGGATTCGGAAATGCGATGTTAGACGTTCCGTGGAGGAGTCTTCTCACCGTGATCGAGCTATCGATCAACTCCGTAACGCGGAACCATGTTTTATTTATTCTTCGAACTAGGCTCGAGCGGATGCGAGCTCTATTTTGTATTGTAGTGTTCTTGCGCGTCGAATTAGCGTCCATCACTGCCCAATCCATGCGTCGCGCCGGAATGAGATTTCTCTCAGTTTATCCCGCTCATTTCGCTCCGCCTCCAAAGTTCCAAGCTTGATCTCTATGAGGCTTTCACATTAGCGGTGGTCTTGGCGGTTCAATCGAGACTTATCATAATGTGAGCTTCCCCGCGACGCCAAGACGCATACGGGGAGCAAGGGATTCGCGAATATCACGTCACAAGATAACAAAACGGTGAATCCCAAAACCTATTGAAATTTGCTCCGAGTGAAAGGTTATTCGGAGCGCGGAACGACAGAGCCCTCAACACGGCATTTTATCATTGACCCTACCTACTTACGTGGATTTTTGAGTAGTTTCCACCATTGGATAGGTCACTACATAGCGGACATGATCATTATTCCTCTCCAGACAACAGGAAAGAAGCAGGACCGAGGCGATCTGCTGTCTTGAACGAGGTCGCAGTCCATCGGATGGCTGTCAATCAGATTCTCTCGATAGAGCTGAGTCGGCGTCATCTCCAGATTTTCCGAGATGAACACGATGTATAAAACGAAGGTATTTAAAACGATAGAGCTCTGGAAACCTCAAGGAAATCAGCTTGTTGCCGCCGACTTCTTCTGGTCGAGGGGATAACTGAGTCGAGCTGTATATTCTATGGTACGCAAGTTTTTACGTGTAAATTATATATGTGCGTGAACGATTCCCTTCAGGGTGTAAATACACAGTGACAGGCGAATCGCGGCCCGAAAGTGGACGGAATGAAAGAAAGTTCCGGTAATTGATTGGTGTACATCCGTTGGACTCTGATGATGTTACAGGGCCAAGACATAGAGATTGGCTGCCTCCTGCTGAATATATGAAATGTTTAGGCGTGCATATTACGACTAATTTTACTCAAGTTGTAGAGAGAGTCGAATAAACACCTTGGTTGGAAAAGAGTAGCGCTGCTCTCAACGAATATATCATCGGTCTGTTCCTTCAGCTTTTATCCTGAGTGCGAAAATATCCCTCCGAGGACGGAGCCTCCGACAAAGTCAAGATTCCGCATTCTTATACTGGATGAACACTGGGTTCTACGAGCGTCGCATCGGTTTTGAGGGAAGTTCGCTGTCTCGGTTTATCCCCGTGAGCAGGAAACTCCTTCTCTCGTAGCGAATATGAATCGCGTGGATCGAATCGTCTATAGCGCCATTTTTCCCTGCTCTGGCGGCCGAAAGTGTCGTGGGGATGCGACTCCCAAGGACGCGACGGACGAAACACTGAGCGTTCGGAAATGAGGGAAATTCATTGGCTCGACCGAGTTTGTCTCCGAAGACAATGCTGTTGATGCCCTCAGTGGTCACCGCTCACCACCCACCAAGACTGTCAACAATTCAACAAAGGGGAGATTTCGATAGACTCCTCTCAGCGAATGTCAATCAGCATCCGGCATGTCGAAGCCGAGCTATCTGCATCTCTACTGACCTTGGACGCCTGTAGTCAACCTCAACATTTTTGTCGATCATCGCTGGTCATTAGCCGATGGGCTGTACCGCGTTCCTTTCGCTTTGTTCGAGAAATAATCGAGGCACCCAGCCCTGCTAAGAGCTGTTCCGAGTGCGAATGCCTGAACATCCCGGGTTATATCGGATATACAAGCACGATATCTTCGGGATGATGCTTTCGTATATCCGTATACGGATGATAGGCAGAATAATCATCTCCCTAGAATGGAGTTCATGCACTCTGATCTTGGCCAGGGAAAAGAATCACAGAGGTGGTCTAGGAAACCTTGGGCTACGCAGATATCCCGTTAATGATCGAGAAGCTGCACAGGAGCTTCAAACCTCGTGAGAATCGTCGTAGATCATTTCCGATTCCCTAATCGGACATGGATCGACACAATCGGCCTTCGGCGTGTCGCGCGCGATAGCTTACGAGTGCGGGCCGTCGGAGCCGGTCGTGAGAAAGGTTCGGGGTTTGAATCCATCGATTTGCATTGACTTCCCAGAATGATCGGCCAGACTGCGCGGCCTGAAGCGATTCCGTGGTCTCGATGGCTCCATGGGCCGCGGGCAGAACACCCGATTGATAGTCACGAGGACACAATATCCTGAACTCCTTCGGGGGCTTGATTCCGTGCACATGTCTTATTAGAGGCTTCGAGTCAATTCGGAAGATTGGAGGGGCATTTCCTAAAAGTTGATCCAAGTGGGTAAAAGAGACCCTCCAAGCCAGGTGGAGCTCTCGATGACAGAATGAGGAGCCCCGTCCGAATCCACGTAGACTTAAGTGCTGGCTACGTGAATACTGCAAGTCCAGGAAGGAACATCTGTCGAGGAGCCAGGCTTGCAAAGAAATCGGTGCGGGTTCGTCAGTCCCAAATGCAGTTCTGGATCGCCGTACCGATGAGCAGTACAATAGATAGATACATACTCCCTCCGAACTTTGGCTCATCGGAACACCGGGACGGAAGAATATCGAGACTCCGTGTTCTCTATCCGGACTCGAGAATGTCCCAAAGAAAGTCTTTTGCGCCGATCGGAAGAGTGGGATCTCGACGATAATGAGAACACAAGGAACCCATGAGAATAAAATACAATCCCTTTCAACTTCCGACCGAGGATGAAACCTCAGACAGTGTTGTGTAATAAACATAAATAATTTTATTCATAATGATGCCATTGAATATACTGCGGATAGACATTCGACGGACGAGATGGCTCTCTCGACCCTATGTACAGAATTGAAATGAGATCCTCCCGCTGTGATACTGAACCCCAAGGCACAGTTCATCAACATTGCGGAAGCCCAGTTCCAGGAGCTTTTTCGGTGTTTTTCAAGCACTTTCCGTTCCGGGGTTCGACACAGCAGCAGAAACCGGTTTTTGGATGACACTGCACTCGGAGGAACAAGCCTTCGCTATCGCACTGCCACGTCTCCTGGCCCAGGAGGGTGGGCTGCTTCATGTTGGCTCTGGTACAGGGTCCCACTTGGGCTTGAGCGACTTCAGAAAAAGCCATCAGAGCGACCTGCAACAGAGAAAACGTTCAGCTTCATCAGGCGCAAATCGGCTCGACGCAAACGCTTGGGAAGCTTTCTTTCCGACCGGAACTCACCAGTACAACTAAGGGTACGCTGAACCTCATGGTGCTCTCCGGATGACACTCGAGCGAGAAAGACACTCGTGCACGATGCGGTGAGCTTTCCTCGATTATCCGTTCAGTCAGAGCTTTTATCCCACCGAAGGCACACCCAGAGAAAGAGTGTGATGAAAGAGCTGCGGTGGTCTCGAGACCGGAGTTCCGAACGCTTGCAAGATGACGTCATTTTTGGTTCGCGCCGAAAAAAAGCTTAGAATTCTTGTGCACTTGCTGTTCTCTTTTTCCCCGTTCACGGAGGTGATGAGCTCATCGTTGAGCATTATTCTAGGAAACTGAGTCACGGTGTGAACGAGGCCACTTCGACAACAAAGCGGGAAAATCAGCGGCGCTATGTTGTCCTTCCATTGAAGCCGCTCTCCGATACGAGAGATGTTTTGTACGATCACTCTCCGGAACAGTGACCGCGCCGACACCTGCTGCTTCTAGTTCAGATCCTAGTGACAGAGACGGACGAGGAACACATGATGCAAAAAGGCTCTTTCCCTAGCTCAACAGACCAGGCTGTTCACCTCCTGGGAGCACCGTCAGAGAGGCCAGTCCGAGAAGCAGGCTACTACCTCATTGAGAAAATTCACGGAGTAGAACAGACATCAGGTGGACCACGCAATCAGACCACGCAATATCCAGACGTGCTATCGTGCCTCCCATATATCACATATACATAGTCATCGAATCTTGAGCATACTCATGCGTGTGTCTTGGACCTCCCGTAAATGATGCTGGTACAACCACTATCTCACCGAGATCATCGGGATCGACGTTCCCATCGTTTTCCATCGCAACGCGTAGAGGAATAAATTCTACAGAGCGCAACTTTGTTCGGATCAGTCGGATGAATAGGAGACGCTCGGTTTCAATTCGGCGAACATAGGTACCACTTATCGACCGAATATTTATGAAACGATTGCCGACACCGCAATATGATTATCCGATAATAATAGTTCATAGCGCTGACTTTCTTTTCGCCTCCACCACCGGTTCATGGCTCTACCATGTTCATGTTGAGATGATATCCGTCCTCACCTTGCCAGAATAATACAGGATTCTGAAGCGTCCTAATGCCTTATGATGCGATGCGTCTCGGATATTTCACGAAGATTCGGCTCCGAATGTTCTTCGGGTGCCAGATCGGTGATGAAAAGCCTCGGTTATTCAACCTCTGAAGGAACGCGGCCCTACCCTTTGCCAGCCCGATTAGATAGGCGCTTCCTGGTATCCGACGCCGACGGCTCGTGAACTTCGGAATAGGTCTTGAACACCAGAGGCATTAAAATCATATCGACAGAGGCATCCCCCAAGGGAACGGAAGTCTTTTCGCACACTTCGCGAGTTTCTCGATCCTTGACCCTCATCGTGGAGAGCTCGATGAAAAAACAATCCGCTCAGAGTGACTCATGCCATCGTTGTTCGGGAACCTCCCGGAAATGAAACGAATATCGCTAACCTCATCTTCATTGAAGGCTCTATAGAAATGTTCGGAGGGTGTAGAGAGTCATCATTGAACAAGCGAATTCGCGCCGACTTCAACCGCAAGCGAGGTATAAGCCTTGAATAAATACCGCGCTCGTCTTCTATCTCGAGCAATAGTGCAATGAATCGTGGAACAATGGTTCGCATCTGAGCTTACGCTTGACCTAGGTACGACCATAAACCTTGGCAGCGACTGAACTCCGGACAATGCGGGGCCAAATTACCATTGGTACCTGTAGCCTACTCATGCCGTATCCCCTCCGATACGGAGACACCTGCGTATACGAACGCCTTCGACGATTCTTCTAGTTGGGCACGTGTCGGCCATACCTGACGGGTAGGAAGAGGAAACCGCGGATTATCAAACCATCGGCCATCGTTGATATGAATCGATGCGACTTCACTGGATGATGAATCACTTGGGTATGAGATGATGGAGGGCAGAGAGGACTGTCTTCACCATAGACTCGAAGCAGGGAATGGAAATCGTGATGAGGCCTGTCTGCGGCGAAGAGCGCCGATTTTCAGGACCAGCAAGGTCTCTCATAGGAGTCCACCGGATCTTCTGTAAGAATGGAGCCGAAATGCTCTTTTCCGAACAGACCTCAGGGGCCTCACTCGTTCGCTCGATTTAACAGCGGGACGTTTTTCCCCGCGTGATGTAAACTGGCTCCCCCCACATCGCTGTCGATACGATGCAACACAGGCCAGGAATTCTGAAGATTCGTCTCTCTCACACGGGTTAATGGCGACTTTCGGCCGCACCTGGGCTTCCCCCTCATATTCAGATTTCTTCAAGGGGATCGAATGCGAATCCATATCAGATAGATCCAAAAATATTGCGTAGGATACTGTATGAGCCCCATTGAGTAAGCCTCCTCCTGTGAGAGCCACCTGCATATCTGCGCTGCAACCAGGTCCTACCACAACTCCGCTACACTGTCAATGCGGGCACGTGGTAGGATTGCTCCCTTACGGAGTGCACTTTCTGCAAATGGTCCGGGGACTTTCCCTAGGGCATGGTTCATAAACTACTGTGAGTTCCGTTTGAAGCCCCATAGCAGGTAGAGCATCCTCCGCTCGTGCATAAGGGGAGCGCATCGCTCTCTTATACCGTCGAAGCGCGCGCGTCCTTCACATCTTGGTGCTCGAGCTAGAGTCGATCAAGTTGACTGCTCCGTCTATACAATTCGAGCAGTCATCTCTCTCCGATGGGAAGATGATTGTAGTATCGAGTGCTTTACAACTGTCAATAAGCGATGCCTGGGTATTTGCCTTCCTTGAGCCGAGCCAACTCTGACAACGAAGATTCGGAGCGGTCGCTTGGTGCTACCCGAGTGGCTCGTTGAAAGAGTTACGCGGGAGAGCTCGTTGCGAAAGCAGCAGAGAGAGGGCGCGGGCCGATCTGGTGAAATGATTCCGTTCGGACTCCTTCTAGCTTTTTCGAACGCTCCGAGAAGCATTCATGGTGAGGATAGAGATGCTCAAGGAGAGATTAGGCGATTTTCCGACGCTTCCCCAAAGGTGTGGGTCTCCCGGACCTGGAGCCGTGGAGCGTTCCGGACTCCACATTCACTCGCGCTACATCAGCTCGCGGAGGGGCTCTGTGAGATTCTCAGCATCAGCAGGACTACACCAGTCCAAAGGCCCTAATGGATTCCGCGGAGACGTATCAAGAGGAACTGATCACGGAATCAGCCAAGAAGGCCATCGGTCTTATCTCCGGTATCGTCATTCTGGCTCCTCTGGCATCGAGACCTAGCGCTGGCCTCTCCATATTCGGAATGCGACTCCACAGAGAATTCCTACCCCTTTTCTCTCGGCAGAGCTCTCGCCAACGAGGAGGGGAGGGGCGGAGGAGATTCGGAACTCAGGGCGTGAATCTGAAGGCACCGTCCCGCCGACATGAACCCGAGACGAGCTCATTACAGCGCAGAGTTGATATGTGGACCAAACTTGAATCTGAGGCGGTGCGGTAGAACGGCGGTTCGGCCGTCTAGTAAATCTTCGTAAATATTCCCAGGCCCGGGCTTCCATCATTCCAAAGCCCTTCGGAGAGGGGGCTCCTATTACAGGGGAGCTCCTCATGATTCTACGCGCGGTTGTGGGATGACGGTGATTAGGAAGCCGAAACATCAGGAAGCTTGATTTCTCGTGACTTCTGAAACTCGAGGTACTGTCGAACCCGCTCATAAAAGACCTCTCGGGGAATTGCAAATGGTCTCTAATATCCGGTTTCTCTACTATCCGAGGTACAGGTTTTCCATAGATAAACCTGAGAAGTCCTGTTCTCGTATTACTCGGATGCCCATTCCATGATGAATGAAGTGTGCACTGAAGTGCGAAAGCATGCGCTCGGACTGATTTTTCGCTCGAATCAGTTCGAACCGGGCTGCCAGTGTTGCTCCATGAAGGGTTTCTGTAAGCCTTCCTCAGCTGCGTGAGTCTTCCACTTGTGATCCCCCGGCTCTCGGCTGAAGGGAGATGCATCTCTTGACTCCCATTCTTGTATGTTTTATTGCAAACCCATCGTAGATAATTGACGGGTTGGGGATTATTCACGGTACTTGAGAACAAGCAATCTTGACGGAGGGATTTTGTCTCGGAAATTGAGCGCAACCAGACCCTAACCTGCTCCGCGAGCTTTTTCTTGGGGCAGGGGGCTGAGCCATTGTCTTGGTAGGGGCGAATGCTGATGCTGGACCTTAACATGGAGCCCTATGGACCGGCAAGAGATCTTAGCGGGAGTCGGGGCCCCTGCCCCCCTGGATCCGCGACTGGTTCCTGATTTCCGTCCCGCAATTCCCTAAAGACGAGAGCGGCGTCCGCATCTCTCGAGACTCACCGAACTCTCCGAATCTGGGGCCCTCCAGTCTCCGAATCATGGAATCTATCCCATCGGAGGCTCATTGACGGCATACAGGGAATAACGAGCCATAGGTACCGAGGACGTCACAGCATCCCCTATTCTAATCGGTGCTCGGAGATAGCTGGTTTCCCAGCTGGTATCTGTTCTTCCCAACCCAATCAATATCAGAGGCATATCCTTCCCCTTCACTCTCAATGAAGGTGTTATCATTGCTCTCATACCCGGGTCTCGCGACTGCCAAACTTCTTACTACGAAATGCATACCACAACAATTATTTCTGTCAATATCTCGTCCTCCTGCGTATGCTCGCTCATCCACCGAACGCCGCAGAGAGCTCACGGACATTTAAACGGCTGGGCACCGTTTGATTGGCTGAGACCTCTCCAAAGATCTCTCCTCCTCTATGTCCAGATGTTCGTCTGGTGCTGCGCCATCATGCTTCGGCATTGTGGCCGTCCTCCTTTCGAAAACCCTGCGCGCTGCTACACCACAGGGGATCAATGTCACATTTGTTTACGTTCACTGAAAGGAGTGATGGTCGGTCAGGCTGGAGCTGAGCGACTCCAGATCGTAAGCGATGTCTCTGTGTGCGTTGGATATATTCACCCGTGATTCTGTGTAGCCCTGAGTCGAGAGTTCGGCACTCCGACTACCGCTCGGTTGTGCATAGCTTGTGTATCGGCAAAGATGCACTCCAGCTCACGACCAAGCTCACGACGCTGTGAGCTGTGAGCGATTTCTCGGGCAAGAGTCTCGTACAGGAGTCCCGATGTCATGCCAAGATATGGTCCCCTGGCCGCACGTCGCGCCAGGGGAGTTCGATTATTACGAGGAGCGTGCAGGTCCAGGCGAGATCATGGTTCAAGCCTTCGACCAGAACCAGCAGGTCGGGCACGGGTTGCAGGACCGTCAGGGCTCTCACGAATTCGCCCAGGTGAGTTGGATCGACCAGTGAGATTCTAATCTACCGGAGCTCTCCTGAGGAGAACCATCCGTCTCAGTGACGCCGATTCAGAGCTCGTTTTTAGAGAAAAGCCCACCGAGCCTCAGTCCTCATAGCCGAAACATTTTCCGTAGGCCTACGCGGCAGCAGTCAGTCTGGCTGCCCGTTTCCAGCCATCGCAGTTGAACATCGTTGATGAAATCGCTGTCGACGGTGAAATGCCAGATCTGCCGGAGGTGCTCGATTTGGTAAGCCAGAAAGCAAGCTCAATCGATGAATCGGAATGTATCGAATAGATATGTGATTAGGATTAACCTGATCGATCTCATCTTCGTTATCAGCATAATCCGCTCCCTCATCGGAATACTATCCCGTGCTCCCAAGACGTGGATCCAGGATCGTTGGTTTTGGTCTCGTCCCAGGATCCATTCGCAGGATTGCCGGTCTTGCATCTCGACAAGAACACGATTCTCGACTTCCTCCAGGCGCCTCAATCAGAGAGACCACCGGGTTCCAGATACCTCGAGGCGCAGACTCAGAGCACATCACATTCAGGTTTGTCCTAATGAAGGAATGAAGACTCTCCCGAAGGACGCATGGCGGTGGCACAGGTCCCAACACTGGACCCCCGCTGGGGCTAGACTTCTTTCCACCGAGAATAAAATCCGGACCCATAATTTCTCTGAGAGTGATCTGATCTTCCATTGCGTTCCAGCCTCTCAAGCATCGTTACCGTTCTGTCTCGAAAACTACAGTTATCCGTCGCTGCCGTTGGTCCAATCAGCAGCCGCTGCGTGCAGTAGTCAGCAAGCCGGTAATCAAAACTATCCGATTAATCACAAGCAGATGTTGGCTCAGAAATATGCGGCTGAAGAACTCCAGAACAGTGCCTTCTGCCACATGGTCCATGCTGGAATGGACACCAACGATCCGACCGCAGCACTGCATCAACTTTTCCTTGGTCCGGTAAGTAAGATCTTGAAAGTACTCAACGCGCTCAGTAATTCTGCCAGGACCCTGTCCATCAACCTAAATACTCCGCAGGACCCTATGCAACAACAGCAGCAGCAACAGCAACAACAGCAGCAGCAACAGCAGCAGATGAACAAAGACGACAATCCGACCGATCTTCTCGAAGGAACGATTGTGGGCGTTGACCTTTCATTATCGAAGAGTCATGCAAATACTTCATTATGCCCACAAAACCGCATACCCTCCCAAATAGTCAATCGTCAAGATTATCCGACCGTATCCCGACCGCCTAAGAAAGATCGTTTCCAACGATCGCCGCCGAAAGAAGCTTGTGGGATCTTCTGTGATGAGTGCGGTCTTTTCTACGACAAGGAATGTTTGATGCATCGAATCATGGTGATAGAGGATCAGATGGTCCAGCCGAGAGCCTTCGCTTCGTTACCCTCCAACCATCTATCGATTCAAAACCTCTCATCGAACGCTTCTGAGCCTGTGTTCGGAGTGTTCAGCAAGAAACCCATACCCAACAGAACTGTTTTCGGACCCATGGAGGGCGTTCGAGTGCAGGTGACCCACAAGTCGAATATGCCTTTCCCGATTTACGTGAGTAGAGTTTGCATTTTCCGGAGTTTTCCACAACACGCGTCATGAATTCGCCATATCATCTAATTCCGCCGCCATCTTATCGTCGTTCCAGATTTCCGAAGATAAAGACGGATGCGTCCTCCTGGACACGAAGGATGACGAGCGTTCGAACTGGATGCGTTTCGTCCGCTATGCAAGTTCGCCAGTAGAACAGAATCTCGCCCTTTTCCAGCAGGGATCCCAGATTTTCTTCAAGTCAATCGTGCCGATAGAGTCGAAGACCGAGCTCAGGGTTTGGTACTCGGAGGGTTACTCCCAGCGCTATCGACTCTGGCTACCTCAGGAATTTTATGTTTGCTTCGACTGCGACCTGCAATTCCCCCACACGGATATGTTGCTCCACCACATAATGAGCGAGCACAACGACAGCCCGGCTTCGCAAGAAGCTCTCAGAAAACCGAAAATGCATCGATATCCGAGCGGGAGCCAATGGAACGAAGGCTCGATGTCAAGGCAACTCTCCCCTCAGCACCTGATGAACATCGCGCAGGCACCTTCGCCGGGAGAGGTACGACTGTCGAGAGCGTCCTGATGCGATCAATGACTAATCATCGATTGTAGTCGATTGCAGAGGGATGGGGGCAAAGGGAGCTGTAGGGTCTTCATCCCTCAGAGTCTTTCTGCTTTTCTAATCGGTCTCATCCGCGTATTTCAGTTGTCAAACGTGTTCTGTGAGCCGGTCGAGAACCAGGTACAGAGGAAAGGTAAACGCGCGATCAACCCGCGTCAGCCATGCAATCAGGAACTCCTTCCTTACAATGCGGAAAAAAGCATGGATTCGGTCGAGATCATCGAGCATATAACCCAAGCGATCGGTGCCGATTGTGCCGGAAATCTATCCACCGACATGATTCCCAACAATTATCTGTCCCTGCAAAATCAACACGTGACGCAACTGAAGGAGCCGGAAGCGTTCTTCAATGTTCGCACCGAGTATCCAGAGGAAGAGACTCGCGAGATCGAGAAACGGCCCGAGGGATCGATCATGCAAGAGGTTCCGAATGCCGAAGAATTCGACGACACGCTCTACTACACCTGCAAGAAGAGGAAGACCGATGCCACAATCCGGGAGCGTCTCAAAGTCGATAACAGCAACGCCCCGATGCTCCATAATCAGGAGGAGCCCGAAGCGGTCGCCGAGGAACCCAGGACCGTGCCAAGTAAAATATCGAAATTCTATCAGCGCCACAATGAAGAGTCGAGCCGGAGTCCAGACACGAGCTCACAGTCCGACTCGTCCTCGAGCTATCGGTCCGACGAAAGTTCCAGCTCCACTTCGGACTCGTCTCGATCCTCGGTGCTTTCGGAAGAACCTCCTCCGCCGAAACGACTGATCAAAAACATCAAGAACAAACACTACGTTAGAGCCGACAGCAACATCGTGGAAATCGATTCCCCATTGCCCGAATCGGAGGAGAGCGCCGATATCTGCGACGAACTCGCTGCCGCGGCACCGACCGAGGCGGAAAAACCACCGAGTCCGAAAGCCACCTTCATGACGCCTCTCAAGAAAAAACTCCCTAAACTCATTCCCGAGGAATATCAGATGTCCAATCAAGATAAACAGCCAACGACGGATTCTGCGACGCATCTCGAGGTGCAGAACGCCGAGATCACCTCGGCTGGATGCAGCGAATCGATCGAGTCGCCGGCCGAGAAGGAATTAGAAGAGACGCGCAAGGACGAGAAACGAACCTTCCCGTGTTTGCTCTGCGACGCAGAATTCTACTGTCGTATCATGTTGAAAGAACATTCGGAGCAACACAGCACACCCGAGGGCTTCAAATGCACCTTGTGTCCGAGAGTTCTAAAGGACTATATGATGATTCGACGTCACATAAAGCTCTATCACATCTACCCCACAACAAAATCATTCCGATGCGACGTCTGCGGGAAAACCTTCTGCCACACCGACAAATTTCAGCGTCACATAAGGGTCCATGAGACTGGCGATAAGAAGTTCAAGTGCCAGCAGTGTGGTAAAATACTCAGCCGCAAGGACAAATTGGCGAATCACATGAAGAAGGTGCACTTCTCGGACAAATCGGAGGCGCAACAGGTGAGTTACGTGACATCCGACCTTTCGAGTTAGGATCGTTCAAGTATTCGAATTATCATCGACTTCCGTACCTCTGGGTTCTGATTCAGCATCCCTTTCTCCCTCGCAGACAGAACACCGGAATGGACTCGACTCGAGTCCGAAAGCGAGCCCCGACTCCACACAACCGACATTTCCCTCGGGTCAGGAAGTCACCGATGAAAATCAGAAGAAAAATGGTGTTAGCCGGTGCCGCCTGAAAATCGAGGGCACCGGGATCAAGAAGGAGAGTTTCCAATGTGACAAATGTCCAAGGGCCTTCCGGAAACGGGGGATGCTTGCCCAGCACTACGCTAAGGGTCATCCGGAGGTCTCATTGGAAAACACGTCCCTGAACGATGAGTTCGAAAAAGTCATCACCGAATTTCCGTGTCCTTATTGTGACAAAAGGTAGGCGAGCGTCTCCAGTCGTATCTCGTGTATAGTGCCTCTATATGGCGAATCCACATTCCTCGAATCAAATTCCAATGGCAACAGGGGGAAATTTCTCACTTCATGAGGAAGACTGTTGGAAGGGATCGTGGAGGCTAAGAAATCGTCATATAGTCGGGAAATGCCGACTGAAGAGCGCATGGATCCCAGATGTCACCGACGTCCTGGGATAAAGGGAATATTCTTCCGCATTTCAGCTATAAGTCGAGCACGAAAAGGAAGCAGCATATTCTGAAGAAACACCCGGATCAAGAGATTCCACAGAGCTATAAAACCATGGCCGCTTCAGTGAGATCTACTTATGTAAAGTGTCCGTGGTGTCCGAGTCAATACACAGTCAGATGTAAACTGTATTCTCATCAGAGGAGCAAGCATCACGAGATCCTAGATATTCTAAACCTCACCGGTAAGTAGAACCCGTGATCGGCATTGATAACCTTATCAAGGCGAGGAGGGATGCGTTAATAGTTTTCCTCTCGCTGAATCGACAAATAGGTACGCTCTGGAATGATTGTTGTTGCGGTGAATTTTATTGCTTTCGCTTAGCCGCAATAGGAGTTGTGTCGAATATTCGGACGATTTCATTCGGCATGCGTCCATGCCAGGGCTTTTAACGGCTCAGAGGTGTCGAGTGACTGACCGGAAACCATGGATGACAAAAATTATCATCGCAATAGTTCGGCCTTGTAGATGATTTAGCATTTTGAGAAACTATGCGGAAATTACTCTGTCATCCAGGAATCGAATTCTTGCCCAAGTGTCTGAATTCTAAATGTCCCGTTCCCTAATCTCCGCCGAACGTTGTGTGCCTTGGCGGCTCGACCTCACTAGAGAACGTTCCCCCAAACCGTCTCGGAGCAGACTCTGTAATTACATCATGATTGATGACTCGTGTCTCGTTCCAACAAGGTCGCGAACTATGCGGTCCTCCAGGTTACTGGCCGCGCTGTGACATTCGGACATCTCAAGAATCTTATCGTCTTGATATTGTTAGGAGTGTCCCGAAGACGATTCGATGCTCGAGCTTGTCTGAATTATGTTGAGGAGCATTCGGGACTGCCACGCTCCATTCTTGAACTAAGAGACCCTTCCAGGGATCACCGAGGAAGCCTGGGAGAAGAAGATTCCGGTTTCGAAGAAGGCTGAATGCATGGGGATACAGGCCAAGCTCGAGGCTGAACTGTTGGCAAGAAAAGATCTTCAAGAAGCAGCTAAACTGTCTCAGCAACAATCTCAGCAAGAAAAAAAGTCAGCGAAAAACCCGGGTACCGATCATCATTGACAGCATCGTCAACGAATGGCGTCCACGACACAATGCGAAAGAGCCAAAGATCATTAGGTAGCTTATCATGAATGCCCTTAAGGATACGGAGTACGAGCGAGCAGCTCGTTCATCCGGGGACTCTGCTCGTAATTCCTACAGGGTCATCGATCGGACGAGCTATGTGGGAATTGCATGCTACTGACCGGACGATCACGGATGCAAATGGTCTTTCCCATGGATCGTAATCTCGTTTCCAATTAGGAATGCCCACCCCGAATCCCAATACACGAAGACCTTCTCCGCGCATTTTGCCAAGCGAATGAGTCATTTTCAAACGACTACCGTCTTCTATTGTACAATCGATGTAATATACGCAGCTGAAGAACATGCAAATAAAGAAGCAAACGAACAATGATAATGAGAACAGTCACCGTAAAGTCCGACTACTTGATCTATTGCTGAATAAATCATCCAATCCACCGACTCGATCTTTTATTCACTAAAGTATTAGCTGGACCAAGTTCCTTTCGGTATTGTAACCTAATAAGTAGCGGTTAGGTTTTTAGTATTTATATTCAGAAGAGATCTGAGAAACTGTACAGAGTTTTTCCAGGTCACGCTGGCCATCGAAAGATCCCTCGGTTCCGAGGACTCGATGGGAGATCCAAAGGACACAAAGGGACGACCTGACGGTATTTACAGATTTATACGATCATCGGAAACTTCGCAGCTTTTGCCCTCCGATTGCGCTCTCTCCCAAGACATTCCTTCCGCTCGGACAGGAATGTCTTCAGGATCATGATTCCCCTTCATTCACGGAGATTCGCCCATCGTTCGGCGGTGCTTCGACCATGGGAAAATTGTTCGCTTCGGATTTGGCTTTGCTCCGAACCGGGAGCAGTTGTCGCGCCGCTAGACAGTCGAACACCATCTTCAGATGCGGATCCCTCCGGAACACGTTCTGAAGGTCCGGTCGTCGCCATATCAGCACGACGGTTTCGGTATCGATCGCCGTGAACTCGACGTTCTGGTCCACCTCTCTACCGAAGCATTTCGCGGGATCCACGAATTCGAACTGGAAGTACTCCGTGATAGGCTTTCCGTCGCGACTCAGTATGCCCAATCTGCCGCGGATTACGAGACTGATGTTGTCGCCGAGATGGTTGACGTCGAAAACTTGACCGGATTCCAGATACATCACCTCGCGGGCGGCGTTGTACACGAACTCGAATTCCTGTCTGGAGATCCGCAGCGGCTCGAGCAGTTTCGAGTAGAGGTTTTCTACAGCTTTCGGGAGCCTGGTGGTTTTCGGGATCATGTTGTACGCGAGATAGGACTGGACGAGGTTCATGATGGTGAAGATCGCGTTCCACATGAACGTGTCCAACGCACACAGCACCAGCCAACCCCACAGAGCGAAGAACAAACATGCGAAGAAGAGAACTATCCGTAGAAACAGCAGACCTTTCAAGCCCGGTGGAACGCAGTACGATAGGAAGAGGCACACGTTGGCGAAATGGAAGAGCAAGTGATTCGTGGGGAGCCATCCAGCTTGACACGGTAACGACTCCAACAGACCCATATCAGCCGCGAGAAAAGCCAACTGAGAGGACTCAGGTCTGTTCTGTGGCCAAGAAACCGGCGAGCGCAACTCAAGACGTACAAGCGTTCCAAATGGAGAGGGAACCGTCATGAGAAGAGCCACGTTCCGGTATCTCGAGATCAAACTAAAGAGCAAGAAAAGAAACAAACGGCAGCACTCGGCATCAGTGTTATAAGTCGAGTTCGCGAACGTCGCGCGACGCAATGCTGAGCTGGGAACGCAATGCTGAGCTGGGAACGCAATGCGCTGTGGGTGATTCATTCACTCTAAGTTCTAGTGTTGCAACGGGAATCTCACGAAACGGAGTGAACCGGGGAACTCCCTAATATCGTTCCCGATGGACGATGAATTTTTCGCTTCTTCGGGTGACCTTCGAGAAATCGGGATCGGTCCGAAGGTTGTCAATTGCAAGCTGATGTCCTCCGTGCAAGGCGCCGAGTACACGGACTCCTCGAGCGTCAGGATGTGGGTGTCCCTCAGCGTATTGTTGAGGACGAATTCCCCATGAGACCTCATCGTTCTCCTCTTACTTATAGGCCGTGTTCGATAGCTCGATTTGTGCCATTGCTCCATGAGTCCTTTGTAACATCACCCAAAGACGAGAGAGTATGTCGGTCACTGATAAGGATTCATGTCCACTCGTCATGACTCCTAGGCCATCAAGCCCGTTTCGATTGATGACTCCTCCTCGAGAGATCGCGAAGGCTCCAGGACTTGTCTACCGATTCTGGGAGCGCAGCTGAATACCCGGATGTGCGATGCTCTCGACGCGTCATGAGTCATGACGACCCGGAGATGGTTCGCTCTCGCTTCGGCGAAAAATATCTCCCAGGCCCGGATCCTTCTGTCATGCTCTAGCACGGAACTTTGCGAGCTCCCAGAGGCGACGAGAGCACCGAGAATGATCTTCCAGAGGCACTTGGAGGTCATGAGTATCTGCATATACGCTTGCTAAGGCTGGGAATCATTCACGGCATTTTTTTCGAAAATACGCGTCAATTTTCACCCACATTGACTTCCTCTAAAGGATCGCCTGGGAACACCGAGAAAATTCACGGCTTCCGGCGCAACCGCGCTAATTTCCCGCCCTAACCCTGGGTATTGATATGGAAAGGGCGGGCTCTGAATGCGGCGGTCGGCAGGGGGCGCAGGGCGAGCATTTCCCTACAGGGAGGAAGAATTCCAGAGGGGGGCCAGCTCAAGCTTTCCCAATCGGTTGATGAGCGATCGCTTGAGACTTTCTCCGAAGTTAAATGAACGATAGTCACTGGGAGCCTCTGGTGCTCGTTCCGCAGAGAAGCAATTAGAAAACCGGATCCATGTGTGATAGGAATGATTCACGCTTCTCCAGTCATGAGCGACGTGAACTACTTTTCGAAGCCCAGGTCGCCAGAGCCGGTAGATTTTTCCAAGCCATATTAATCCAGCATTTTCTTCTGGAGTCGAGGATTCTGACCGCGAGTATGGATTTAGGAACAAATTATTGTCTCAGACCCTCAGAGTCTCAGAGGCTGCTCGGGTCTCGGGGACGACTCACCAACTCCATGAATGAATTTGCCTATCCGTTAGGTTTCGTCCAAAGCCACGCACAACGATGACTGAACATTTATTTGCTGTACATTTGTGATTACATCCATCTGTCAATGGCCAAATGTAATCCGAGGCATTCTGGTTGCCTCCCTCTGTCAATTTATATATGGGTATGTATGATATATATTCCAACCGCGTGTTCCGCCGCAAAGGGGGTAAAAGGACGGGAAAATTCAAAACGTAATTCTCGATTCTGAAATGCTATGATGCAAGAGATATACAACTCAGAGCGAAAGCTGAAGCCGAATTTATTCGTTTCATGATTGAGGTCCGAAAACCATTGAGCAGATTTCACCTCTCGGAAAAAGAGGTTGAAAACCTATAAATAAGAGTCCTGTCATTTCAAAAATCTCCCTCCCAGGGTCGGAACCCTTCATTCAAAATTCCCCATTGTATAATTAATCCGAGCTCTGTTCTGTTCTATCTCCGAAATCCGAGCGCCTCCGCTCCCGAGGCGGTCTACGGAATTCAAGGCACCGAGGTCGGTACAGTTTCGGGGTTCCTTCCGGATTTCTACGGGAGGCACACCGTAAAGTCGCTCTCGCCGCCTTTCTAAGGATTCCTCATCAGGAATGAGAATGGAGAATCAAGCGCAGAAACTTATTGTCATCAAACGTCGAGAGCGTTCAGGAACTTCAATAACGTAGTAATACCTCTTGACCAGAACCTACTGGACTCAGCCGAACATTCCCTCATCAAATGTTCATCGTACCATCGTGGTTCGGTACGATGCTTGACGTGTCGTACTTCCGACGCTGACTTCTACGTAAAGCGTCAGCCCGGACGTAAGGTTCGCTCTTGAGGTTGTTCAGGATGTCCTCTAAGGCTCCGTGATACACCTCGTCCTGCGGCAACTTCTTCTTCTCCTTGACTTGTTTCGTTCGACTCTTCAGCTCGTTGATTACGGCTTCTTGGTTTCGTTTTGAGTCCTGGACATTATTGTTGTTGTTGTTCTGCAGAGACTTCGCTCGCTGAGTCTCTTCGAGGACCCGACGGCGCTCGTTGTCAAGCTCGGCCTGTTTGGCGTTTTTCAGGAACCGGAGCAAAGTCGCAAAGAACGTGTTCGAAGGAACGGTCCGGGCGCTCTCCCCAAAATATTCGACGCATGCTGCGTACGCTTCTTTGGCAATACTGACGTCACTGAGCAATTTCTGGAGCTTCTCCTCGTTTTGAGCGAGGAAGTCTCTAAGGACCAAGTTGTCCTTCCGCAGGGCGAACTCTTTACGACAGCGCTCCATGCCTTTCTCTAGCTCGACCTGGTCGACAATGAGGTTCTCCAAGGGAACTTGTGCAGCTTTCTCAACCACCCGGAGCTCTTGCTCGACTCCGACGATCTCGGGGAACTCGTCTTTGAATTCCATGATGTAGTGCAGCAGGGACATTTTTTTGTCGGCGGTCTTCGTTTCCGGCAAGATGTCGAGCGACTGCAGCTTGAAGCCGTACGCGTGTCCTCGTTTGGCACCGTTCATCATGTTGCCCAGAAGCAGAATCAATTCGAGGAGTTGCGACATCCTCTTCGAGCTCTTGACCGTACGTGCGGCCAGAGTTATCGCGTGGATTTGCTGGAAAGGACGACTCGGAATGAATACGTTGAATCGGACTCGGGGCACTAGGACGCGGCCGAAAGTATGAAGGAGTCCATGTGCCGCTGATAGATCCCATGAAAGACTCGCGTAAGACTCTTGTCAAATTCACTCACCGGCGTCATTGTATTGAGCGTTTCTTGGAAGGTCGTCATATACAACATGATGCTGAGTTTCTGCTCCAATCTTTCGACCTTCGTTAACTGTAACAAGAACTTGTCCTCGTCTTCGAGCTCGTCGATCGTTTTGTGCTCCCGCTCGTACTGCTTCAGGTCCTTCGCCTATTGAGGATAGTGATAAAACTTAATTATGATGGATACATCTCAGACTAATCGATTCGGGAGGGAGCAAGCCCAGACGGAGAACGTTCAACACAACGATGTGTACTCATGAGGAATTCGCGAACGAATTTCTCGAACTCACTTCAGTCTCCGTAGGCATCATTCTCAGCAGGGTTTCGATTTGATCGACCGAAAGAGCCTTCGGATCAAGATTATTGATCAGCTTGACTACGGCGTCCGAGGGTAAGTCGAACTTTCTCCTACAGATCGCCATGTTCTGTAATCTCTTATGGCCGAGTTTTGTGACTTTTTCAGGCTTGAGCTTCCTCGAGGAAGTGTCCTCGCCCCGATCAACTCTGTCGCTCCCACCGGAACCGTTGATAGGTCCGAGTTTGAAAAGCTCCTCGAAGCGATCTAGACGTTTGGCGAGTTTTGTATACAGCTTGTCGTCGTCCAAGTTCTTAAAGACGGTCCCTTTGGAGAAATCATCATGAGAACGAGTGAAGAGATGAGGGATGCTCGGATGAGCTCGCTTAGAATAGCAGATTCTCCTCGTGCGGGTTCAGCTAATTTTCCACAAAGGTACTAACCATTGACCTCGGTCGGCCTCAATGCGACCCAGTTCAATGTCGGTAGCTTATGCTTGGTCTTTATTGTTCGCCTTATCGTGACGGCTCCGTGCGGCGCCAAAGCGTTCCCAGCCATCGGCGGCGGGGGTGGGGGAACGAACATACCCCCTGGAGCCATTGTTGGCATTGGGGGTGGTGGGGGAGCCGGAGCCGACATCGGCGGCGGTGGAGGGGGAGGAGGAGGGGGGGCAGGTGCTGGCAGTGTCGTCGTCGCTCCAGGGGGAGGAACCGGCGACGAGGTCGACGAACCTCCGCTTATGCTGCCGTTCTCCAACTGCTGTAATTTGCTCTCGAGCACGGATTGTCTTTTGGTGTATTCTTTATCTTTGTCATGGATTTTTTTCCGCAAAGTATTTATCTCCTCTGTGGATTTCTCCCGCAGCGTCTGTAACGAGCAAGAAACATCAGCTCGTTGGATGACAGTCAGCGAGTACAAACATCCGATAAATCACTTCATCGTGACGGCTCCGAGCGATGCGGAACGCGCTTTCTTCAACGGATAGGAGAACTCACCAGCAAGTCTTCGTTTTCTCGACGCACGTTGACATTTTCCGTCTCCAGATCGACAAGTTTCGCCATGAGCTCGTTTTCGATCTCATGAGATCTGCTTATCAGATGCTCGAGTTCCGCAACGCGGTCAAGAGCGATCGCTTTCGTCTCACTGTCCTCCATCAATGAGTGAACATCGAAGAAGTTGTCCCAATACGCGCTGATTTGCACCTACGAACAGACGGGGAGGGTTGATCGTTTCATCAAACTCATGACATGGGGGGGATTCGAGCTCGGAAGTGCTCGCGACAAGCTTACCTGCAGCTCTTCCGATTCCGTTTGTCCGATTTTGTCCAAATAATTCTCCAAGCCCAACTGAGTGAATTCATATTGTAGGTAAACTCGGAAGTTCATATCTTCGACGGAGTGCACGACGATATTTATGAATTGCATACAGGCGACCTGCGAACAGAGAGAGAGAGTTGCGATGGAGATACTCAAGCCTATGAGCATGTCTGTAGGTTCCATCGGTGCCTATGAAACTACCGATTCTCGTTGCGCGCAATGTTTATTAGTAATTGAGTAGGGCTCAATCTGTGTTCTGATCAATTATAGCTGACATTGATTCGAGACCGATTAGGGAGGAAGAGGTCTATTCGGATGGTGATTTACCATGAAATCGATGTTGAATTCGGTGTAATCTCTGAAGTACTCCATGAGCGTCTGGAAGCGGAATTGTTCGCCACACACAACTTTGAAGTTGTCGAAAGCCGAGAGGATTATGGGATGACCGCCTTTCACGAGGCAAATGGCAGCCAAGAGCTCGAGGACTAGCGCTTTCGTGCGGAGACTCTTATGATTCAGAGATAAAGCGATGCAGTTTATGGCTTGCGTATGCTCGATGACCATGTTGAATCCATACTGCGGGAAATATCCATCAGATTAGTCCTCCCAGATCGATTCCGTCACTCTACGCGGATCGCATGGGCTCACTGATGAATTTCATGATCATTCTTCGGGTTCGCGGAGGTCACGCGACATCCCCAGGCTAGATCGGACGAAAAGTACCTTGTTGTTCATAATGGCTCTCAAACACATGATGCAAACGTGAATATCGTCTTCAGCCTCTCCCATGTTCAGCCGGCTGAGTTGCTTGTGCGTAGGTCTTCGCTTCAACTTCGGAGTGCCTGAGGTCGGACTGAAATTAACATCGTGCAAGTTGAGAATTAGGCGACGATAACCACCTGGGCAGAAAAGAGAGCCGAGGACCCGTCGATGTCAACGTTTTCCTCATGAGTCCTCGCCATCCTGAAGCCACGAATTTCTCACTCGCAACAAAGCCTCCTAGATTCTCTGACGGTCGAATAAATCCCCATATCGACTAGACTGGTGAGTCTTGGACTAGGGAGATATTAGAGATCTCTAAAAGGCAAAAGCTTGAAACTCAACAGGTGACGAGGATGCAACTCGGAACACTCGGAAGGGTGGCCCGCACAACACGGGTCTTGCGGGGATGCGCCGCATGCGGTGGCATTGACACATTGGATCGGACAAGGAGCTGATACAAAATAACTTGAGTACATTGAAGCTTTTTGGGGGCATTCGACGGAACGTACACCGCGAAGTCGTCGCCCTTCTAAATACATGATAGTGAAATCGGCGAAGCCTTCATAGCGAGCGATTTGTTCATGTCAAACGGTTCCATGATCCCTATACTCGATAATACCGATCCGATGAACCCAACACCCGGGACCCCATCGGGAAGACCCGTCCGTTCGCAAACAAGGTTCAGACGAAGACAGGGTAAGTCAATTCAAGCATGTATGGGCGCTAGAAGATACACGGGTGCGTATCCTTCGCAGCGGGGATTTCCCCCGTGTGTTTCGAATTCAGTCCGAAGTGATGTGCCTGATCGAACTCATCCATGAAGCCTAATCAAGGTTCATGAAACCGCGTGAAGGTCGACGGCAGGTGCACTGGAAACTCACCTGTCGTACGGTCCGAGAGACTTCGTTCTCTGGAGAGAAGGCGCACTCTGAGTTGTTATCACCGATGAGTATCCGAGGGATTGAGGTCCGTCATCGCCCGTCAACGTGTCACCTCTCCCCAGGTCGAACCTTCACAGAGAATGAGGGAAGAAATCAGTACTGTTCCCAGAAAAATTCAGGATCATCTCTCGCGAACGCGAATAATAATCATTCGAGCTCGATGGAGTTGAACCACGCATACATACTTGAGAATCTCCAGCTGGAAACTTAGGTAATCTATGAGAACTTCGAGACCCTTATTATCCTCATTCAGGAACTCCCTGACCCATCTAGGGAAGCAGAGGAGGAATTAGCGATTGGTAAAAGGGAGCATCCCTTGAGATCCATGTTCCAATTCAGGCTCGGAATAAGAGGGTTTCGACAACAACTCACTCGATATTGTTGGTCCGCAATGAGATCTCTAGGTCTCGCAGAATCTGAGTTGACTTTGAGTTGCCGAGAGTTCGTCGACGCTACATATCAGGCAAGAGGTTTGTCAAATCGTCGGACTACAATAATTATTCAGGATCGATTCTTTCCTCCCAAAACTCTTGCTGGGACTCTTCGAGAAACAAGCGAGATTCCTCAAGGGTATTCAGGTAAATTTCCCACCATTCACATGGAAATCTAGATCAGGGATTATCGTGCTTGGGTTCAGGACTGATAGCATGCGGAGGATCCGAAAGCCTTCATACAAGAGGCATGCCGTTCAAGGGGCATAACACAAGGGATTAGAATTCGACATCACATGCGGACATCGCCACATCTCGAAATCCACAGGCAAGGAAGCAGTCATTGTAGATGCACGCGCGGACGCTGTGTCACCGCCTCGGCAGCTTCACCATTCACGAGAGAACAACAGGCCGTGAATTACCAGCGAAGCTTCCTACAAAGGCTACTACATCTTCTCACCAGAGTTTCCGGAGCGTACTGCATCATTGGCACGAAACACTCGTCGCCGATTGTCAGGTATACGACGCGACACTGTATTTCGACAAAGACGTTCCACGCAGCGAAAAGGAACGGCCAATCAAAGTTATCAAGACATCAGGATTCTCAATCGGGGAGCGAGGACTCAGCAGTCGGTCGAATTCGACCGGGGTCTCCCCTTTTTGAATCGCTCCCCTCTTCAACGACGCGAAGTTAGTCTCTGTCTCTAGTCTAGAACATGTCATCGGGGACACCGAAAGGATCTGCCACACACGCGAAACAGACGAACTCTCACTCTCGTTCGACCAAACCCGCAGATGATAGACAGAAAGCAAGCAAGACGGAAATACCTGAGCATGAAAGAAAGAGTAGAAAGCTTCAGCGAAAGGTGCGGCCGGTGAAGATTCCAGACACGTTGTTACCTTGGTTGATCTAGGCGCTTTTGGATCTAAGTATGTGGTGAGCTTCGAAAGATAAAAGGACGGAGCCTGTTTCGCTGTCATTTTTTCCTGTGAAAGAATCGTAGGCCATGAGCTGGAATGTATAACCCAGAGAAGGCGGTCATTCCAGACGAGTTTTTTCAGACTGAAAGATTCCCATATATACATGATGTAGAACCCCGGGATATTCCTCCCGAAGGGCGGGAACCGACTTTTGCGTCAGCGGAACCTCAACTGATGACAGAGTGAAGAATTGAACGAGTCGAAGTCAATCGGCTTCGAAAATCCAACGGGATTCTTCATCGTATATATCGACAATCGCTCAGCTCCGATAGGCATCTAGGCAACCTTGACCCCGGGAGCGCTGCGCAACGACCGGCTGCAGCGTGGAAGCGTACTGAATTTTCTACGCTGAATGACTCCCCAATCGTCTACTCCTCTTAGCTTTCAAAATGGTCACCAATGCGCATTTTTTCGCTTCGATCCGAAACGAAACGAGGGACTCAGAGCGATACCAGGGTGATCCCTGAGCGAGAATCTGAGTCGACCTCTTTTCGATGCCCCTCATCCCCCTTTTGTAATGTGAGGATCATGACGAATAACCGAGATCCTCATCAGTCCGGGCTCGGGTCCAAGGGACGATGAACACCGAGGTAATAATTCATCTATGGAAAAACTGCCTACCTGGTCGCATACGATCTCCCATTTCTTCTGCGAATCGTAGTTCTTCAAAACTTTCGCTTTATCCGGGGGTAGGTCCATCAAGTTCTGCAAGACAGAAAAGAGCGGGAATGAGAAAAGAGATAATAGTGATTCCGCTCGACGGCGAAGTCATTTGGAAACGGTCGAATCGAGCCGGGCGAGCTTTCTTGTTGGCTGTGCAATTCTGTCGGGCTCTCCTCTGTTCGACTTGGACCCGCACACACAAGGGCTTTTCTAAGGTCATAAATGGGGCAGTTCTTCGAGGAAATGCACACGACGGCCGCTTTCAGCTCAGCCGCTTTATCCCGATGTCCGGGCCTCGGCCGTATGCGGACTGGTCCCCTCATCCGACGGCTATCAACGGAGGGGAGTGAAGAATCGTTGATTCTTTCCAGCGCAAAATTCGGTTGTTTCTCCGATTTCTAAATCTCATCTTCCAGCTAGTCGCAGGATCATCTTTGATTATTATTTTAAACCTTCATATCCTAGAGGTGCGTGGTCCTATCAAAGAATATCAGTTTGATGGTCGGGTCCCGTAGTGTGAAATTCTCGAAGGTTGGAAGGTCTCCGACAGTCTGTAGCACGGTTGATCGAGCAGTCCGGTAGCGGAGACGGAAAATTTCAACTTTCAATCAAATCCAGAATTACGTGATTACGCTAAGGTATACGAGCATCGTCGGGGTTTCTTCAGCTCGGTTGATTTACGTTTGGGGCGTGCGTTTTCGCATAAGGATATCTTGTAGTTTTCGAGAGCATCTTTGGTAATTAGAGTGTTATCACGAACTTCGGCGCCCTGACTTGCCTTATCCGGCAAAGCGGTTAGGACGTTGGGATGATTCAAGGTCACGAAGCTGACTCCACACAAGGAGCTAGTCGGCGTAATAAACGGCAGGTGAGGGTAAGAGGAAGCTGATTTATCGCTTCAATTAACATCTTGACGTCTGCGTGCATCCTCTCGCGCGTTCCGGATTCCGAGATCTCTGAATGTGTCCCAGGAGTTTTGGTCAGATCCCGGAGAATATCCTTTTCCCTTATCGTTTTCCTTCTGCAACGTCCGAGCCAGTCTGGCTCCGGAGCCGAGAGATATTAGCTCGCAGTCGACGCCATAAACCACCACAGAACAGCAACCACTGGCCCAATTTCAGAAAACTATTCCATTTCAGATGTTTCGGAGCTGGCCGCAGGGAATACGAGGGGAAATTCGACCGACGGCGTGACTCGGAAGGATAGCTTGCCCTCTATAATACTGAAATGCTTTTCACGGCGTTGACTCATCGCGAGCAGGTGAAGCGTCTCCGAGATTCATGATTGCTCGTTAGATCTCGCTTCCATGAGCCCGATGCTCCGCAACACCTGGGTGCTCAGCGAGATGATTCAGTCTCCGAACGCGCTCTGTGAAGAATTTCGTTCGAGAGTTCTCGATGAGGGAATTTCAACGGTAAGGTTCCGGAGATGAGACAAATTGATTTTTTCGAGGAATCGGGTGATGGATGAATCGCATCTTGGACCGCCCCCGGGTCTCGAATTGACACACAATCCGAATTTCGTGCCTCCAGGGTGCCAGATGATCAGCAGCGATTTCAGACCGTATCCGACTATTAGGGGATGAATGAACGGGGATACTGGATTGTGGGTGTTGCGTAATCCACGTACGACAACGTTTTATCATTGCCGTTATGACTCTAGTTTTCCGCTTGCTTCGAGCGTTCGCCGAGCCTACCATCGCCTCTGGTGCGCAGATTGATTGTCTGTGGCAACGCTGACAACAACAACCCGTTGGGTCGGTCGATCGCGAGCGGCGGCGCCGGTGGTTGATGGGCGACCGCTTTTTTGCGTTTTTTCTTTTGTTTGCTTTCCGAGCAGATTCTCAATTGCTTCTGTCCGGCTTGGCAGAATTCCTCCCACGAAAGGAACCTGCTCGATCGGAGGCGAGTCGTTACAGGCCCCGGCGATCCGCTCGACTGTCTTATAACATTTTCAGGTCCTCCTGTAAGGATTTCCCCGGCGACTCCGGAATCACTTGCCCGTTAATGCGGCCGTCTTTTCGGAATCGATTCTACTTGACGTCGCGATGCAACAAACTGGTGACACCGACAGCAAGCGTCGTTCTGATTTCTGTAGCTGTCCGTCCTCTGAAGCAATAATCCGTTTTCACCACGCTTCCAAGACGATTTCGTCCCGTGCCCAAGGTCCGCGAATTTTCGGAGCGTTCCTGATGAAAAGTGAATTCTCTCCTTGTCGTCATTCGAAATTATCTGCTCGAAGAACGTGTCATGGTTCTGCACAGACGAGAGCGTTACCCGATCGCTGGGACCGTTTCATTTGGGGAAATTTCGACTTCAGCATCGCCTGTGCTTCGGGTATTGTGAGTGGTCTCCGGCATCTAATATCATGCTGCGCTACGCGGAAGACCCAGGCGACGGAGAAAACCTTGGAGTCGAAAAGGGTCGAGGAAACGGATCCCGAGGCTCCCGAAGTTCCCGAAAGTGAACACTGCGGTCGCCGTGTGGTACATCACCGCTGCAGGGAGATTTGGAAATGGAGGCAACGCCCTCTTTCCAGGGGAAGCCATGAAGTGACTTTTTCTCGTAAGGAGCGTCGCCGGAGACTGCATCTCACTGATCCGGGCCAATCCATGATTGGCTGACTCTTTAAATGGAGGGTCAATCGAGAATGGGCACCAGTTTTCGGAGGAGATTTTGCATCGAGTGAAAAATCACGAATTCTCCGCGATGCGAAGCTCGTGATGTTTGAGAGATTTTCGCCGTCCATTCATAGGAAGTCTGATTTGCTAAAGATTTGTGATTTCGGTCAGATGAGGATTGGTTATGATTACTTGCGGGGAAAACTTTCCTTGGAGCAGAATGCATCATCAGATGCTCGATGTGAGGATAATTATTTGAAGGGAGAGTTCGAGTCTCGCACAATCGCGCAAGAACGGCAGACCCATGATGTTTGTAGCTATCATCTGTGAATGATTTTCTCGTGGCGGAAGACTTAAACGAGAAGGGATGAGGGAATGGGGTGACGTTCCGAGCACAAAAATCTAGAAATCGAGAACCAATCACATTGAGACCACAAGACAGACATCTCCGCGGGGAGACGTTCGATGGGGGCCGAATCACCGGACTGTCGGCGTGACCGAAGCAAGAGTCGGGTTTTGATGGGAGAGCTCGTTCTGTAAACATCAATACAAGACTGAAACAAGCCGGAACCAAAGACGAGCCTGCATTTTTCGTCAACCTGCGAGTCCAATGACCGGCGGTCATTGTAGCCGGCTATTACTTTTGAGAACGCGCCGGAACGCGATAAGGAATGTCTGGGAGTCCCCAGAGAGTGGAAAACATCAGTCCCTTGGCCTTCCCGACGAACGTCGTCGTGGGTATTTTTCGAAAGTTAGGCTCTATTGGGGTTCAGAGAGGCTGGACTCGAGCACCTATTCCCAATGGCGGCGTCGGTGTGGCTGAGGCGCGGGAATCCTCTTTCAGGAAGATATTCACCCGAAATCGGCCTCGATCGTTAAGTCGCGGCATATATAGGTAATACTCTGGAAGCGCTATCGGTGTATGCTTTCGGTATGAATATGCTGGGGGTGAGAGTTCGAATCATGGCGCGTCCTTATTTGGATGAGGCGACAAATCGGAACGCAAAGGAATCTGAGCAACGAATGTCTGAGAAGAATGTGCGAGCGAACCCGGGCACAAACCCGAGAAGCGTCCGATGTACGCTTGTTTCGTCGGCAGCTTTCGAGGCAGTGTTCCGTTTATTTATACTCCCCGAAAACCCGTGATCATATCAATAATCTCGCTCCCGTCTACACTTTCACCTGACGCTGTTTCCGTCGCTCGCCAGATCCACGTAAAGGATTTTCGGTCACTGAAAATAAGCCGCTTGACAGCCGCGAGACTAGTTGCGTCTCTTGCGTGGAGCTTCACCGCAAGGCAAGCCAAGTCAACACAAACCCGCAATCGGAAAACAAATGTTGACACATCAATCCGTTGCGCTCCACTACATGCGGGGAGGGGCATCCCAAACTTTTCGAACGTCGGCGTCGATGCATATGCTAGCGTAATGGAACTTTCCTCGGGCTTAGAAAGCGGGATCTGAGCCTCCGACTTTCGTCCATATTGATCCTGACGATCCCGTCAAGCCATATCTCTTCGGAATAATTCGATGAGATGAATGGAGATGATTTCCGATCGAGTTCACCCGGCACCAAGCTCCAGATACATTTCCCGAGGCGGGGGCGGAAGAAAAACGTCCCGGGATCCATCGGGAAATTTCATAACCCACTTTCGGTTCGAGTCGAAAAAAAAGACGAGGGAGATGAGTATGGAAAAAACGAAACGGATGAGCTCGTGATGGAAGCTCATGTTCTCAATGCATGGCATCAGTCGGAATTTTCACGTGACCCGCTTGACTAGCGGCAGACATTTTTCAACCGCGAAGCGCGGAAGCGATCCCGTCGGCTCTTAGCCGACTCGTTCGCTCCAGCGAGTTATACCCGGCAATCCCTCCCGGTTCTCCGGTAAATGATTCCCTCCAGATCGGGGGAAATAAGTCACCGGATATGAACTCTTCAACGGTGGGAGCCGATCGGCCCATGTAGTCAAACCGAATCCTTGGCTTTAAGATAGTCAGCTCTCCCGTACATATAAGTGTGTATACCTCTTGGGAGCCTATCGTGAAGGTCCTTCACCGCTTGCTATTGTCGGAGGGGGGATGTTAAGCCAACGACGCAACAAACATATTGTGTACGATCCCGTCTCAGGTAGGAGGCGGCGATCGGTACCACAAAGATCCAGAGCGTTGCTACACAAAATTGTGCTAGAGGCACGAATTGCGTATGATAGTTGTTCGATTTCACTTGTATTCTGTTATTGATGTTCGCGGCGTTCACGTTCACGGTCCGGCGACGATGTCGGCATCACGCGTCCAGATCACGTGATCTGATTAAAGAGAACACATCGATTTCCAACATTTCATCGGAAACCTTGAAGGTTCTAAGACTAATCTTCTCGATGGGGCTCGAGACTCGATCGTTTTCGCACGGTCGCCCGGAGGCGAGATGATCATTCTTGCGCGTGGAGAGCCCTCCCTTTGGTCTCGAACCTCTGCAGCGATAATGGGTTGAATTCCACAGGAAGCCCGCGACCTAAAAGTGGCAGTGCCTGATTCTGGCGGGGAGCGGCATTTTTCGTTTTCATCTCGGGAATCCACGCCGTGGAGTGGAGCGCTCGTGTCTTTCTGTAGACTTCGATTCTGCCCAGAGCAATGCAAAACACGCACGCGCCCAATGAGAGTGGAAGTTTTCTCGGTCGACAAGCTTCTCGGAATTCTGGTACCTTGAACCAAGTCATTGTTGTGGCGAGCATCACTCAGAAATCAGACACTGTCTAACTTTACGTCGGCCGGTAGTCGCTTAAGTCTATGGCTCGAAAGGCGTTCGACGTCAAACCAAATGGAAGCAAAGAGGCCCGGGACATTCACTCCTTATGCTGACCGGAACTTCAATGGCGAACACCGCGAAACAAGATCCCTACGGAAATCGAGTACCTAACTAACGCCAAAAAAATGAAAAAAATACGTGAAGAGCTCCACACGAACGCAGGCCCGCTCGTCCTTCACAAGAGACCGATTCGATTGCTAGGGGATGATGTCTTTCTGAGGAACTATTCGTCCGAATCCGCGAGAGCTGAGAAATCCACGGTGGCTTCTCTCCATTCGGAATGCTGTTCCGAAATCAGAATATGTACTACGACGGAGAATTGTCAAGCTCTCGTGAGAATCAAATCAATGTGAATTGCTCAGTCCTCCTATGCAAACTATGTTGTGGGTACATGCAGCTCCTATCGACCATTCGGAGCGTGACATTATTTTAGGAAGGCGAACACTACAATGATGAGAGCGAAGAGGACTCCTTCAAAATAGTCACGAGCGTGAGTCATGCTGAGCTTCGAAATCGACAGTCGGAATGGAACGTTCATGAATGGAAACGTTGATTCGACCAAACGACGTCACAAATAGGAAAACAAATCCGAAGTATCACCGGAGAGACCAAAACGCGGATGCGCACACAATTTTCGACAAACCTCTCGACAGCATGCGGCTATTCACGACGAGATGACTTTCTAATTCCGATATCATAAAGAGAATCGAATTCCGAATTCTCCTCGGATATAGCTTAGCTTAATTCTTTCGAGGGGATCCAGAGAAAGATCTCATGGAAGATATGTACGATTTTTTTCGATTGCCTTATTGAGCGACGTTCGATCATGCTTCGACGTGGCGACGTCAACAAAACTCTTCATCATCTTCATTGAATATACGGCAACGCTCCGGTGTTTCCCTACGTTCAAGCCCATCTTCTTGACGGCAATGTTATCCCCGACCGTCAAACAGCGAGCGATCTTGCACTGGACGAGGTCCGCTTACTCGCTGTGTCCGGTGCACGTCAAGGTTATTGGAAGGAAGATGATCTCACACGATGATTCAGCGTTTGTCTCCTGGGCCATCGTGTTTCAACAGGGCGGGTTACTAGGAACGTTTGGCGCGATTCCGGACGATCTGACAAGAATATTTCGACGGGCTGGTCGTCCGTATCGCCAGCGGTTCAGCAAACGATCCCAGCGACGGCGTTCAGAGCCTTCACCGATCGTAGTGGGTATATTCATTGACCACTGATCGATCATTAGAGGGTTCCATGGAACTAGATACAAGAGAATGTTCGTGCTTTCAGGGTGTTCCAGTTCCAATTGATGACCGGACGTACGATCCGATCTTCCACACTGCGCTAAATTCAGGCGTACCCCGCGAGCGAATATCTTCTAAGCCCAAAGGTTATCAAAACTATCTGCTGACAGGAGACACTGCGACCTGCGACTCGTACGAAGCCGTGACGGAGATTCCGACTCGACCGAGAGCCCTTGGGTGGACGGGTCAGTCAACATGTCTCGACGCTCCGCTACTCAGGTCGAGAATCCAAAAACACCATTGGCTTCAATTAGAACTCGACCCGGGTAGCGGCCTATAGGGCACGGCAGAACGCCACGCCATAGACAAGAGAATCTCACTCGATGTATCGAGGGATCCGATTCGGCATTATCGATCAATCGAGCGTGAATGATGGACGTTGCCGGACTATATCGCAGTATCCTTCCAGAGGTCACTGAGGGAGACTGACTGAGTCCACAAACAAGCGCGGAATCGCCAATGGAAAATTTGAGCTGCCTAGGACGCGTCTCGTCGACTCGATGATAAGCTGTGGAAGGAATATGGAAAAGCGGATGAAGGAGCCGTGGTTTGACGTCGGTGCTTCCCGCGGATCTGGATCAGTCGCAGAGAAGAAAGCCTCATTCTTTTTTTTTCATTCCGAATTCGTCGCTTTTTTCCGAGCATCTGAACTCTTTCTGACTGACTGGCGACATGCCGACTGACTTCGTACGCGACCCGGTCCGAAGCCATGAGAGCCTGTGACAGTTCACGTGTGTCGATCCGCTACAACCTCCGCGTCACTTCATTGTGGAAAAATGGAAAGCACAACAATAGTCGTCACGACAACGACGACAACAAGAGCAGCGAGCGCAGCCACGACAACGAGAGACGACCTTAGAGAATTTTCTCCTCCCACCGGAGCGATTTTCCGTGTGAGAGCCCATCCGCTCTCGATATTCAGGCTCGGAAATGTCGCCTTCGAAAATGTCCGCTCACCGATCCGACCCTCAGTAATTGAAAAAATCGATACCTTCTCTATGACTTTGAGCGATTCCCTCCAACGTGGTCGGCATCAAACACAAGCGTCAGCTATGCCGTCCCCTACAGAAAGGCTCCATTGGCTCTGGTCAGTTCAGCTGGGAACGAAAAAACCTCCGATTCGGGATGTTCCCGGAAGACATGCAGTTGACTCGAGACCCAAACCAGAGGAGACTTTGCTTTCGATTTCTCGTGATCACGAGACTTCCCCGAATTCGCAGGCTCCGGAAAGACGTCGTGAGCTTGTTTCGCGTCTAGAGGAAGACCACGATTTACACGGATCTTTCGTCGCGACAGAGACAAGCCTGTCATTGATTAAGTCCACCAGCGTCCCGGGACGCCTTTGTATGACGATTCGAAGCTTGTGGAACTTGATAGCGCGCGGAGAGCTGACTGACACAAGACGTTCCGCTGTCCAAGCCGCTCTTTCGGTTCCGATGACCGTGATAGGACCGCCGCGCCGTAATAGGCAAGCGTCTTGATAAGGCCGTTATCTAATTCATCACAAGCGAGGGATCATTTGGAGGGAGGAGCGATCCATAGAAGAAGCGGAGGAGCCCGGAAAGAAGTCCACGGGAATAAACGAGTCAGAGGGACGGAACGGTGGTCTTCCCGAACGGAGAGGTTCCTCTCGAAACATTTTGATAGTCCACGAATTTCATTAGGAGGCGCTCGACGGATATTTATGATCTCCATCCTTGATACAGAGTATTCATGTAAACAGAAGACCACGACGGCGACGTCGCAAATACAGGAAAGATATCCGGTAACGCGCGCTTATGTCTGTGAAATTGACGGTTGTATGAGGGCGTTGTTAGTGGCTCCGATGACTCTGGTCGCTCTGGTGTGGCGGTCGTCGTAGTCGACAAAACTCACAGAGGGAGGGAGCGAGGGAGGCAGACGGCCACAACCAGTCGAATGTCACGCTCGTTGATCTTCAAACCTCTCTAGAAGTCGATATCGCGTGAACATATGCACAGCCACCCGAATTTTCGAATTCGACAACGTGAAGCTCGCTGCTCTGCGTATGGGGGACTCTGTTGGTGAACAGGAAACAAAAAAAAGCGAACAGTCCACTCGAGCTGTTGTTTTGGAAGTTTCCGCCCAGTCCGTCCGGATAATTCCCTCTCAACGAAAGTGGTCATTGATCATGAATGATCCAAAGGACACTTTTCTGATACAAATAATCATGAGCAGCACTCCGCTCGGGAAAGCTCAATCACGAAATTATTTTCCTGAATGGGCAGACTGTGACGGGGTGTTCGAGAGTCTCCGCCGAAGAGGAACTCCTCCTGACTAGAGCCCCGGTGAGTACGCCGAGAGCCGAGAGACAAGTGTGACCCTTAAGATTGAACGACGCTCCATATATTGAGTGAAAACGATTCCCCAAAGTCCCGCAGTGAATAGATTCATCCGAGAAGAATTTGTGGGGAAGCGGACATCGACTCGAGATATCTATCCGACACTACGGGAGAATGTTCCAATAGATTGTCCTAAGCCACAAAGTGACGCCCATAGACTCCATCGAAACGACAGTGATCAAATGTCTCGAGACGAATTTGTATTTCACCGGCTCTCTCACTGCTTCGACACTCCCTGGAGATTCCACAGACTTACAGCGGCCTTGGGGCACCGGGTCAATATCCAAGGAATCCATGCCGAGATACGCGGCGTGCAATACCCATCAGAACAATTCGAATTCGAATTGAAGGTGTTTCATCCTGCACCTTTTCTTCGTGGAATATCCTGATCGTGTGCGTTACGGATAGATCCAGTGGAATTCAATGACACCGGACCTCCAGGAGAATCACATGGTTGGCTTCTATCCATACTAGCGAGTCCATCTAGTTGACTTATTAGGCCGACGCATAGTCGAAGAACACGTCACTCTTTTTCCACTCATTAAGCTTCCGGGGGAGTAAATTCTCGGAAAAGCAAAGAGTCCTGCCTGTGCCGGGAATCTCCGCCAGCAAATCGCGTGACACTATGGTTCAACGATGAAAATGATTCCAGAGGACTGTCATTCCACGCCAGTTTGCTCTGTGTACTCTGAAGTGTCTGGTGACCGCGGCTAGCCAAAGATTTCAAGGCAGTCCGTTTCGCCCAAGACGGGGAAATCGACGACTCCGCGCAGATTGCTTTCACTATTTCATCAATGTTCTCAGTGACCCACTCAGAGAACAAGAAACTCGGCGGAGGGAAAAGTCGGATATTTGAATTCTTCTTATTTGGGATCTACTACTCGCTTGTATGTCCATCAACTGACCAGAACTTCGTTGAAGCGTTTCTCCACCGTGGGCTCATCGGGCATCGGTTGCTTGATTTCGGCGTTATTTTTCCAGCGTTCGCCCGACGCTTGATGGTGGCTGACGCCGTGACCCATCGTGACAGAGGCGGCGGCACTTTCAAATCAATTAATCCAAAGGCTCGTCACGGACACTTCAGCGATAACACTTCACCATGATACACCACTGTCAGCGGCACCGTCTATGAAACCTCCGATAGTTCTCTGCTAGCAGCAGCAGGCTAGTGGTGGTACCGCCGACGACGACAACATCCACAAGCGGCGGCAGCAGCGAGGCAGCAGCGAGTGATTCGCGTTGTTGTGTGAAAGCGGCTTCGCCGTCAGGGGGCGCGCCTCAGAGACCCGCCTACCAGCCTAGGAGTTTTCTCTGTTTTGAACGAACTTTTTCAGCTGGTCGACACGGAAGGTTCTCCATGCCAAGCGGAACACTGCGCTGACCGCAGAACCTCGACGAAATCGAGGAATCATCGTCGCTCCCCTCGAGTGGAATTTTTAATCGGTGGGGAGAAGCTCCTGTGGCCTGTGATCGAGTCTGTCTTGGGGACACGCGAGGGGAAAAAAATCGAGTCACACCTCGCACCGTCTCCGGTCATTTCTCGGATCGCGAGTTGACATCCGATCGTACGTGTATCGACTGATCGCCATTCGCATCTTCCCGTGATGATTTCGAATGATAGCATCTCGCCGATGGCATCGGATCGAGAAGAGATCCCGCGCACAGTGTCCGAGCCCTCGCGGACAGGTGGCAGTTTCGATAGTTCGACCTGGAACGATGTTTGGGAAAAATCGGGAAGCCTCAAGTAATTGCGCGATACGTCGATTCCATTGATACGAAAGATGTTCGTAGAGGCGATCTAGCCTCGGAAAGAGCTCAAGTTCACGAATCCAAGAAGTTAGTCCCTATGCACGTTGAATATCTGGGCGAGCTGGGGACCTGTTATCGGAGAGCAATATCGCTCCCGATCAGAATCTCGGAGAAGTCGTTACATCGCCATCGATTGTCACCCGCGCTCAGTAGGCTCGTCTTTTTGGCCTCCTGTTTGCGACTCAGACGCTGAGCTTTCAATCCGCGCGCTTTCGAATTCCGTGTACTTCTGGAACCCCTGAAGACGCGAATTCCCTCGAATTAAATCCGGGAGAGAGGCATAGCTGTTGAGGAATGCCGGAAATTTCGGGGAATAGCTCCGGAAGTTCTCAAAATAGAGTACGTTAGTAATCGGGCAACAAATAAAAGCTCCGGAGAGACCGCCAAAGATGCGGAGCAACGTCGGTGGGATGAGAATTCGAAAGTACCGCGCGTACCACTGCCATTGCGCCGGGAGGAGAGCCGGTCACGGAGATGGGGGACTCATCTGCGTAACAATGTTCGCTGATAATTACCATGAGTCACGACTCCTCGGAGGACACCTTGCATCGGAGAAAAAGTTACGCATTCTTATATCGCAGGTTGTACTCACCGGTCGTGGTACCTAGGTGGTACGCTGTGGTGGGAGCGTCTGCGGCAGGCTGTTGGGCCGCCATCTTGGCCCGTTCCTTTCTTCGCAGCCACGCATCATGGGTATGTGTTTGCGTTGAGGAATCTGAAGTTTTTCCGTAATTCCTATTGTGTTACGCGATTAATTGTGTCGACTTTCGCCACGCCTTTGCGGGGAGCGATGGCGAGTCCGCCGCAAAACTTACCGCTTGCCTTCCCAACGGAGTTTTGACAGAGTGACGAAACGTGCGACCCGGCACGTGTTGAACCCGTCGAACCAGGCGCTTCTTGCTGCTTAACAGTTTCGTCCACGTCGGTTCTCTCGGGGGCGATTTCGATTATCCGGAAATTCGGGTCGAAAAGCCGCGGTTGCCGGACGTCATCTCGAAGAGGGCGGGAGTCCGCGGTTATTGAGCAGCTCTCGGGCAGCATTCGAAAACAATAACTCTGGGGAGCGACCCGAAACGATTTGGAGAGCTCTATGAGATCTAATTTGTGTCTCGTGGGGCATTGCAGGGAAGCCACGTGGAATACGTACTGCACGTAAGCATAAGAACCACCGTCGTGATCAGAGATGGCACGATAAGGACTACAAAAAAGCCCATCTGGGTACCCGCTGGAAGGCCAACCCCTTCGGAGGAGCATCACACGCCAAAGGCATCGTGCTCGAGAAGGTGAGGAGCTCACGGACGTTCTCGCATTCAGGCATCATCGAGGTTATTGGACTCGCACCGATGAGGAGGAAAATTATTCATGGATTACTAAACGCATTTTTTCCTCAGGTCGGCGTCGAGGCTAAGCAGCCTAACTCTGCCATCCGTAAGTGCGTAAGAGTACAACTGATCAAGAACGGAAAAAAAATCACCGCTTTCGTGCCCAACGACGGCTGTTTGAACTACATCGAGGAAAACGATGAAGTTTTGGTCGCCGGATTCGGTCGTAAAGGACACGCCGTCGGAGATATTCCCGGAGTACGTTTCAAGGTGGTGAAAGTGGCTAATGTGTCGCTCCTGGCCCTGTACAAGGAGAAGAAGGAGAGACCGAGGTCTTGAGTTCCCAATAAAGGTGCCGGGCGGCAGACGCCGAAAGAATGAGTTCTTTCTTCAGGGGATGACTTCGTTTCAAGTCTCAAAATATTGTATGTCTCCCCACCTGTCCTGATGATGGAAGATTTTTCGGGATCGTTTGGCCTTTCCGCGCGCGTTCCGTACATCGAGTCTGGAAGGTCACCGACGCAAGTGTGATGCTAGCGTCCACTGGAATTCTTCTGCTCCTACGCCCAGCTTCCTATGTATGCTGTTGTCCTGTCGATGTCTATCCTTCTATTGGATTGCTGTTCCAGACGGAAAGCAGCGTCTTGAATCCCCGAACTTCGCTGGAACTGGGTGCAGCATCTGCGTTGCGGGAAGTCGAGTCGGCTTTCGTTCAACATTGTCATCTTCACGATGATTCCGCATCTTCTGAAGCATCTGAAGCACTGCTCAGAGGTCGCGGGCGATCCTGGTATTCTCCTTGATTTCTTTAATCGTAAGGGGCTCATGTTTATTTCCTCGAGCTCTCATTGTGGAACAGAGGAAGCCCATGCCGCACCGGGGCCGAATCCGGTGGGATCCGACCGTAGATAAGGGGAATGTTCCGATGACCGAAAATCGGCGGGACTCATTTTTCGATGCTCACCTGGGATTTCGGCATGATCGGTCCGAAGCGTGAACTCAAAGGAAGAATAAATAAATAATCAGTGAGTCTAGCGGCGGTGTTCTCGATCAAGAGAGCTCTGCGTTTCGATCCCGTGCAAAGAAACGCATATCTCGAGCAAGATGGAACCAGACATCTAGAAGAGGGACTCCCCGAATAGGAAGCTGTAAATTCCGTCGTGCTCCCAGCAAGGACCGCTGCCAAGCTCTGGCATCTATCACATTCCAGAGTCAAAACTATTCAGCAAAAATATTGCTACCCTCGGAATACCCGCTGCGTCGGCGTCGTTCCAGCCCGATCAACTTTGATAATAATAATTTTTTTTTTGGTGTAGCAGCTCGCAAAGGGGTGACCCTATAATTCTCAAAAGGAACTGCGAGTGCGAAAAGGGGGAGGGGACTGAGGGGAAGGTAGGAGGAAAAGGTGAAAGAGCCATAGGGAAAAATGCATTGACGCACTACCCGGAAGAGTGGAAAATTCAAGTGGAGTGTGGGGCTCATGTACATAATACCCACTAAAAAAACCTATAACTCTATACCTGAAGGCAGAGAGCGGATAGTGTTGGATTTGAAGAGTTTCGGATCATACGTTGGAGGGAAGACATGAGGAGGAAGGGCATTCCATAGACGGGATGTGCGGGGGAAAAAAGTGGAGGCGAATTGAGCAGTATGATTGGAGGAAAGTTGGACAGAGTTGGGATGCTGCTTGGTACTCTTTCTGGTTACAAGGGCGGGGACCAAAATAGGGGGAATGAGGGAAGAGACTTCATCTGAGCATTCTCCATGGAAGTATCGATAGAATAAGGGCGGGGCGGAAGCGGCCGCATCTCCGACGAATCACTACGTCAGAGGCGGATCGAAGTCCCGAGAGCATCGAGTCGACAGCTCTATGGGACTGAGTTCAGAATTCGTCGCTCCTCTTCGTATTCCGGTCCGGGTCAATGAAGACTTGTTCCTATTCAGAGCGGCTTGCGATGATCCTCTCATCAATCTCAAGCGAGCAAGCACGTGTTCGAATGGGTTCAGCTTCGACCGAGTCTGTCCCGGAAACCGTCGGTGTATGAAACCACCGGTACTTGCCCGACGTACGCCGCGCGCAACCAACTGTGCATAATTCATAAAGACGGGAGCTCCGAGACGCGGGAGCTTTTGAAGTTCGGAAAGCAACGCAGCTCTGTATTCGTTACGCGGCGACGTCGGAATTTTCAACTCTTCCCGATGCTAATCATGAACCCGATGCGGATAGGAGGATGGGGCGGCGGAGTAATTTGCGACTTGCGTCAAGCATTCGCAGTAGAAAGCTTCAGAGATTGGCCTATCATGCGGCTTTCAATCAATCGCCCCCCCCCCTGCTCGACGGCATCAGCCAGATATTTATACCGCGAGCTCCGCTCTATCCGCCTGTCACGTAGACAGTGAGCGCGACGAGACGGCTTCCCGCTCGTTCTCCCGAAGGAACGGACTGATCGAAGTTCCCATGCGATGGATAAGAGACGAGACGTCCCTTTGTTTGTCTGCGTAGATACTTCTGTAGGCAAGTAGGTACGATCTCCCGCAAGCCGCCGACGTGCTATCGCATACGCTCCCCGACGCCTCCTGCGATTCTGTGCGTTCGGGCGAGCCAACTTTCGACGCAGGGGAACGCGGCTGGATACATTGTGATGACGACACTTCCAGAAAGAGTTCACTTTGCAGGCGTAGGTCGACCGGAACATCGGGACTCGTATTATGCCAGCAACACCCGCGATTTCTGATCAGACCCGTTCCGCATACCGGCATCGTGGAGCCGAGGCGGATGAAATCCTCGCACCGCCGAGGTCGTTGACTGGAGAGAACGCTCGGCTGTCCTTGGGCAATTAATTCCTTTGCGCTCCGGCGCTGCTTCGGCAGCGGGGCGGGTCCGATTCCTGCCCTTTGTCCTCTCTTTCGATGCTCGACAATACCCGCTGAAATGCTCGTTCGACTACACGATTCGCTCCCGAGTTTCGTGACTTACGCTCGGGACCGAAGCTCAACGTTCGCGTCCGAGACGTTCCACTTGAGCTCGAGGGCACCCTCGTACATCTGAGATACGGGCTGATGTCAGATATCTATTCTCCTGCTATGGAGTCTATTGAAGTATTTACAGAGCTCGGATGGCGCTTTGTTGCTCCCGCTCTAGTTCAGCAGACGTGGCTGAGAGCTCCCGATCAGAGCTTCGGTGCCGATTGCTGAGTCGGTATATCTCGCTGACCTAGGAGAACCCACAGGAGACTTTCTGGGAGGGGGTATATTCGATACCATAAGTATTTCTGCTCACAGATGCGGTGCCGATCACTACCTTCCACGTGAGAGCTTGGGAATTTGGGAACCGAGGATCACTGGGACAACATCAAAACAAATCCGATGAGCTTTCGCAAACTTGTGCGATCCGCGTAAATAATCTCGGATCGCATTGTTTGCGTTCTAAACCGGCACTCGTCAGCTGTTCGGACCTTTATGATACGCAATCGTGCTGACAACTCTCCTGACGAACCTCATTTCGCCATTCGCGACGCTCAGAATCGCACTGGGACGCGTGGGGCTGTATTCAGTTTTTTCCGCGTGAGGTCACACGCTCGACCAGCTCCCGTACCATTTGAGCCCCGAGAAATATCGGGTTCTGCGGTGGATTCAAGTCCCAAGGGAGAGCTTCCTCACCAACGAACGGAAATCAGGAATCAACGAAGTCGCGTATGGGGAAGCGCAGTATAGATTCGTATATGTATATCCGAAAGCGAAAAGTTGCGCTGTTCCCTCGCCAGAGAGATATACCAAGCGCTGCCTATGACGTGCGAAAACTTTCTCGCATGAAGCCGAGACCTCCATTGTTGCCTCCGCACGGCGAGCGGGTTTCTTGAAGCCATTCCACGTGGGGTCTTATATCAAGCGCTTGCGCGGAAGTTCTACCTGCGGGACCTCGGGCTTTTGTTATGAATAAGGATTTGTGGCTCCCTTCCAGTCGGTGAGATCGCACACGACCTTCGAGACCTGCGACAGTAGTTCTGAGGATGGAGAATGTCACCTTACAGCTTCACAATGGCCTCGATTGAAGGAGACCATATGTTCTGACTGCCTCTGCAGACCTATTGCAGGCAGGTCCCGGAAACCTCAGCTCCCGGTCGGGATTACGAGCTGCACCGCGAACACACCAAGAGAGAGCGGCCTCTCTACGGAGCAGACTACTCCGACAATGCCAGGTGTCTGTGGGGAAGCGTCCTTCCGGGTGTGGAATTTCCGGAGCAGACTGTCCCCAATGAAAACGGAGCTGAGACTCGGTCAAAACCAAGTCCCTCACTCATGGTCTGTTTCACTCTGGCCGAACGGCCGGGAAGCTCCTACTCTACGAACGAGGACACAGAAGCCTAGACAACTCTTGAGAATCGTCAAGTCTCGGAAGGCGGAGAGAAATTCCTCTACTGTCGTGAATAAGTCACGCGGTCGTGTCAACGCGGGGCAGATTTCGAATCACGTTGCAGTCGCACTTATGGGAGCGATGTCTGCATCTTTCTTTCAAGAAGCCGCGATAACATACGGGAAGATGGGAAGATGGGAAATGTGTGGCGGAGGACACAGACGAATAGAGGGTCGGACATGTTCTTCTCATCCAACGGAAACTCCACGTCTGGCTCGGACGATTCGGAGTACGAATTCTCGGCGACCGATCGAGAAGGAATCAAAGCTGACCCCGACGGGGACCGCGAGGCTTCCAAGCAGCCGGCTGCCTCCCGGAGGGCTCGCTCGGATTCTGGGCGAATAGGAACCTTCAAGAACTACCATCATGGGCGGCCCTATTCATCGATTGAATGCTTATGACTTCGGCGCGACTCTCGTCCTATATGTTCAATGTATTATATGTCCACGCATATTGCACGGAGTATGGCTTCAAGACAGCTATTTCTAGGAAATAATTGAGTCGCCGGCGATAAGTCTGTGACGATGCGCTCCTCGCTCGGTGAAGTCCGGAATGAGTAGAGAGAGTCGGATGATAACCAGATTCGCATTGCAATCGGATTTTCGACTTTACGGAGGGAGTCATTTCGACGATGCTCAGTGCTCTGTGTGCCACTAGATAGGAGTTTCAGTCAGGCAGCCACCGAGCCAGAGCCCCACGGGGCTCCGTCGAATTCAGTTTCGTCCAGAGGGAGACGAATGCAATTAAGTTGGGGGATGACCGAGTTCGCATTCTCGATGCAAAACTCTGATCAATGAGAACTCGCGACCCATTGAGGCTGGAAACGAAAAAGATGCGGACATGCAGGGACCGTCCTTTTCCCCCACCCAATATCATTGGAGGGGAACCACCGCACTCCGTCAGGTCTCTCGAGCTTCCAGACCGTATTGATGGGGTTTCAGAATTATCTTGGTATCTCACTGAC